CACGTTGCAAGTCTAACACTTTCCAGGGGTTGGGAATTGCGCTCGTCGCTGCCCAGAAGGCGAAGGTTCCGGTAACTCTTGTTGACACGTCGCAGGCCTCTTTGGATAAGGGCCTCAAGTTTGCCGGTACGCCGAGCTCCAGTTTTGTTTGTTGCGTTCACCTGGAATTATCTGACATACCATTGGATGATAGATAAGCTTTTAGAAAAGGATGTAGCAAAGCAGCGCATCACTCGTGAGGCAGCTGATGAAGCCCGTGCGCTTATTTCTACAAGTTTGGTGCTAGATGGTCTGTCCGGAGTCGACTTTGTCATTGAGGCTGTGCCTGAGATCCCGGATCTAAAGACAAAGATCTTTGCCAGCTTAGCCCAGATCGCACCAAAGCATGCCATCCTCGCAACAAACACCTCTTCCATCTCCATCACCAAGATTGCCGCTGCCACCAGCGCAGACCCCACCGACCTTCAGGCTTCCTCCCGGGTTATCTCAACCCACTTCATGAACCCTGTTCCCATTCAGAAGGGTGTAGAGATAATCCGCGGACTCCAAACCTCCCAGGAGACCATGGATACTGCCATTGCCTTTGTCGAGCGGATGGGTAAGGTGGCCTCTGTGTCCGCCGACACACCTGGATTCCTCGCCAACCGTATTTTGATGCCTTACATCAACGAGGCAGTGATCTGTCTAGAGACTGGTGTTGGTCAGCGTGAAGACATTGACAACATCATGAAGACGGGCACCAACGTTCCCATGGGCCCCCTTGTTTTAGCTGATTTCATTGGCCTCGACACATGCCTTGCAATCATGAACGTTCTGCACCAGGAGACTGGTGACAGCAAGTACAGACCTGCTGGTCTCCTTCGTCGCATGGTGGACGCTGGCTGGCTTGGCAAGAAGAGCGGCAAGGGTTTCTACGACTACTAGTTGATATGCATGTCTTGGATGGAGAAAAAGCATTTCGATCAAGATACCCTTCCTGCATAATATTAATCTAGATCGCATTTGCTGAAATTAAATATTGATTACCCGCCCTCATCCATTCTCTCTAAGCCTCCTCCCACCAACAAGGTTCGCCCGCTGATTCCGCTTGCTCCATCGCAGCGACCAGCGTGTCAACATCAAAATCCCCCTCTGTATCCAGGTCTTCATCTTCGACACCACGTGGAGGACATTCGCATCGGCCGCGTTGACCACAAAGGTAACTTATTTTTCGATCAGCGTTAACTTTTTGCCTCGTGCGTGCATGCATGAACTTACCAAAACTGATACCCACACCTACAAACCATGTGGTTACATCCATCCACCTTCTCAACCAAATACAGGCAATTGGAGCATCTCTGCCAATTGTTCTCTTTTGCCAGTCGCAGCGTCGCCTTCGTCTCGGAGTCATGGCTACACGACCAGCCGAGATGGAAAAAGTCCCCACACTTGGAGCAAACCTTTGCCCGGCAATGAGGACAAACACGATATCCCAAACGTGCCCCGGGGCTCCTTGGGGGAATCCATCCGCCACACGTTGCCCGAGGACAGTACAATCGCTCGAGAGGAGGGACTTTATTCTCCTCCCATCGAGCGATATAGCGCCTTTTGTTTTGAGAATTCATTACTGCCAAGACTGCTTTTGCAGGGATCTCTTGTGAGCAACATTTTGCCGGAAACGTCTCCGGGCTGTTCAAGGCTGTGAAAGACATTCGGCGGAGGCAAGAGGGACAGTATTGATGTTCACAGGGGGCAGTTAAGAGCTTGCTCGTTGGGAACTTTTGGAAGCACCCTGTGCATCTGTGAAGAGTTAGCATGGTGCTTTCAATTGCCTTCCAGTTGGCTTTAGGCTTTCTTACAGGCCTACCTGCCCGTTCACCTTCTTGAATACTCGCTCCAAGTAGTCCAGGAGTTTTTGAATGGACGAGCGCCTCTTAGGCATTTTTCCATAGATTCGGTATCAGCTTAGAGGCAGAATCAATACTAGGCCCTTCAAAAGAGGGACAAAGTGCATGCCAGACCCAAGAGTCCAGGCCTGAAAACGTCCTTTTATGTAGAAGTGCAGGGTGCACCTGATATTTTAGGCCATATAGTGATCGTACATTTAGCCATGGATAAACAAACACTATTTACATCTTTGTTCCTGAAGGTCCCACGGTTGAGAATGGGATGACGGCTACATCTGAGGGACTGCTGTCTTGTAGTCTGTGTGTCAAAAGAACGATGGGCTCCTGTAAAAGGTCTCTTTATCCCCTTGACTTGCAAAGCAATGGGGATGTCATCGAGGTATTCAAGCTAATAGCCCTAACGTAAGATGTGAAGAGGGTCCAGACATAAATCCATGGATCTGGGAATTTCCTAAAGAAGTAAAATCACAGCTTATTCCAACATTACCTAGGTAGAGCGAATAATCACATCGTAATGTGAGATCTACGGAGTTCTAGCCTTGAACTTAACTTCTGTATATTTGTTTCAAAAGAGTCGTACATTGACCGCTGACACTAAACTAGGGTATCACTAAATGCTATAAATGCTGTCGGTTTCGACCGTTAAAAAAACTCCCATGATACTTTTGATCCCACAAAGATCGGTCGATTGAGACCTTATACAAGGCCAGCAAATCGCCGAACAGCCCATCCTGACCCGTATTCTTGGTATTCTTGGCGGGTTATGGACACTTTGCCAAGTTCCTCTCTGTTTGCAGCAAGGCGAGTACCTCCTAGCCATGTTGAGTGAACGGGGCTATTGCAAATGTCAGTATTCTAGATTCAAGATAACCGAACGGATGGTTACTCACTCCTTAGCCCGGCGTACCCTCACGACACATTCAGCAGAGGCAATCTGTCGCAATTCGGTTTCCCTGTAGGAGTCAATTGTTAGTAAAAATAGAATTATTGGACTGTCAAGAACCTACAGTCTTTCCATAAATCCAGGAAGTAAAGAATTTCCCCCAACAACGAGGACGTTCGCCAAGAAGGCAGAGTGCAGGCCAGTAGGCAGAACCGATAAACTTTGGAGAATCATGTCGGGTATACCGGCTGAATTCATGCCAATATCTCCGGGTGTGAATAGAAGCTCCGGAACAGCAAAGCGTTCATTGCCCAGAACTAGTACATCCTCTGACAACACCTCCGCGCTGAGCCCAGAATTCGCTCCTTTCTTCTTTTTTGCATGCAAAAGAGGATCATGAGCTCGAATGAAGCCCTTCTTGTTTGCATTCGGGTCTGGGAGGACGTAGTCCAACACGATTCCCTCTTCGGGGCCACTCTGGCGCTTTCGCCCACTTTTCCATGTTTGTTCCAGATCACCTGCAAAGTCATTGCTGACATAGCAAACCGCCTCTTTGACTTGATTCATAATATATGATTCGTCTACCATGTTGTATTGTCTCATTGAAACAATCTCTTTCAGGTAGTTGGTAAGGTGCTTGCCTCCAAGGTCGAGTCTTCGGATCCCGCGTTGAAGAGCTTGTCCTCTGTAAACTGGGGTCACTGTAGTGTGCGAGTATCCAGAATCGACGACCACTAAGCAATCTGCGGGCAAGATAGATGCGTCGGATGTATTGGAGAGAGGATCCCCGAAAAGAAAATGGATTTCGTTCCATGCGTTGAGGGTTGGGCCTATATGCTCCGAGTCAGTACGAGGTCATATACTGCACCAAGTGATCGGACTAGCGCACCCAAGCATCTCGCATATCCGCCAAATCCCCATTCCTCCATAACCATCTCATCAGTGTTCCGTTGTAAAATGGGCAAGGCATTTGGCGCCTCAGTAAGTACAAGGGTAGTCTCTTCTGGATCCGCGATGTGATAATTTCGATTCTGAACCGTCACCTTCCCATCGAAGAAAGACTGGTCCCAGATCTCTCTCTCAGCTTCCCAATTCACGACATATCCCTTTTCCACCGGGCGCCGGAACATCGCCTCATTCCAGTCGTTAACTGTCGCTAACTGCGCGCCGATGACAATCTTATTATCGCGGGTTTTAACGAGAGCATTTGGTATTGAGGAGCAAGCGGAAAGAGTTTCGTCGGAGGCCGGAGCTTGAGAAGCGTAGCCGGCTTTGATCATGTAGGCGCCATTGTCGATAATAAATGTTTTGTCCGGAAGATGTCGCGACGTCTCCACGGGCTGTGTGGGTGTTGCGGGTGTCCTTGGAGGAGCACGAGCCTTGACTGTTCCCATTATAGCTGGCAATAATGAACAAAAAGCTTTGAGCTTCCGTCAAGCTAGGACGCAACGATAATGATGTTTGTCTTGTTTGGTATCAAAAATTCCTGCTTAGATAATGCGAGATTCCCGGATATCGTCACGTGCAGTTTTGCTAGGTCTATGGGGCAAGAAACATCATGCCTATTTCCCACACTCGGCAACTAATAAAGTAGGTTATAAGAGGACGCAGGACTCTACCAAGTAAATTCACATGCATTTATAGGTCTTTGAATCTAGGAGGTGAGATCTATCTGCTGGCGACCATCACAGCACTGGGGCGGTTCGGTCAAACTTATACCCGAAGTACTCGTTGCACGACATTTTTTATTCACAGCATCCATACAACACAGGTAATTTTGTACCTGAACACCCTGAACGTGGCGATTTCTTCACAAATATCTCCATGCACGAACGTTACAGGCTTTTTCTGGAAGATGAACGTACCAATAATATCTCAGAAAGCACCCGGCCCCACCACCCGGCAGCTTTAGCATGGAGTACGTGGGCTCGAAGCTGTCGTTAATTGTGCAGAAATGAAGCCAATCCCGACGATCGGTCTGTCGAAATGACCCCACAAGACGGTCAATCCGGAGATCAATCTCTAGTTTAGGACAAAAGACGAGGGGGTTGCACAACTCTCGGGATTTGCATACTCCATACGGATTGCAAGTTTTTTTGTTGTACAGGAAAATATTGAGGGGCCAACTCGGCTAAGTCTCGTAGGTGGACATATTGCATAATGACTTCCTTCCCCAAAAGTATATTGTAAACATCCCAACATTCTTCTCGAAGGCCAGTGATTATTACGGAATGGCCGCCCTCCAAACTATCGAAGTTCCACACCTAGGTGGCATCAAAGCTGGATACGCCTTTTCTAAGGACCACTATGATCCTTCCAAGCCGACATGTGTGCTCGTTAATTCTATGTGCATGACCGTATCTCTCTACCATGATCAATTCAACAATGAAGCTCTGACAGATACCATGAACCTTCTGGCCATTGAGCCATTAGGCCATGGCTCTACCAGTTCTCCCTCGGAACACTTTACCTACTGGGATTCTGCCCACATGGCCTTACAGGTCATGGACCACTTTGGGATACAGAAAGCTTTCGCCCTAGGAACAAGTCAGGGGGATGGATCGTGACTAGAATGGCCCTCCTAGCCCCAGAAAGGGTAAGTCTCAGTCCCTTCATGAACTGTTGATTAATCCCAAGCCAAAGCAACCTTCGAATTTCGATCCATAATATTAACTTGGCTTGCTGCTAGATTATCGGTCTCATGCCCCTTGGGACCTCCATGGATTATGAATCCTTGGATTCTCGGTCCAAGGGCTGTTGGGACCCTGCTGCCAATCTCACGGTATTTTATGAAAAGTGGACCAGTCCCTCGGCTACACCCGACTTTGTTGTGGATGATGTCTGGTGCGGTCTAGTGGGGGGAATTGGCTTTGGTACCGCTGCCAACGAAACGAGATCCTCGTTCTGGACTCAGACTTTGAAGGAAGTGTATAAAGGTGATGAGGGCCGGAAAAAGGTCCGAATGGCGCTCAATTGCCTACTGGAGAGGGATGGGCTCCTGCTTCGGATCGGGGATATCAAATGTCCTGTCTATTGGTTGCAGGTGAGTCCTCTGTTTACTGATCTAGGTGATTTATGCATTAACAAATTAATAAGGGAACTGAAGACACTCCTTTTGGGACGATCGTTCCTGCGGAACAGATTAAACGTTTTACCTCGTCTGTGGAGGCCAAACTGGTGATGATTGAAGGGGGTGCCCATTATCTGAATGCCACTAACCCAAAGGAGGTCGATGAGGCACTTCTGGAGATGGTAACGAAATATTCCGTATAGATATAGAATTGGTGTGATAGGTTAATATTTCACAATATACAAGGCGTCAACTTCACTAAAGGAGCCAAATCAATATTCACCTGCCAATTTGAGCCTTTCCTTTTTTTTTAAAAAAAAAGAATTTCGCTTTTCGTCAAGCTAGTGATTTATCTTGCTTTACTTGTTTCGAGAGTGGGACCTTTCGTATTTTCTGCTTGGCAAAATCTTCCTACCCAATTTACTATCCCTGCAACCATGTGGATGATCTACTTTGGATCCGCAAGCCTTTGACACCCCAACGGTTCCTCAATATGTACGCAGATTGATATTACATGCACAGGATTAAAGCAGGTTCCAACGGGGCTAAACTAAGTTCAAACTTGAGACACGCCAAGCTTGTCAGGCAAAACGTTCAAAAGTGGAATGATTTTTTAGAATCTATTACTCGTCAAGTGGAGAAAAGGATATCCAATGATCAATTCGACAAAGATGGGACCTTTTTTATGCGATTTGGATGCGCATCCCGTAAGATTTCATTCTTGCTGGGTTGTTCTATGTTCACCTCCCTGAACCAAACGTCATGGGAAGCGACCAGGACAGTCTGCAGCCATGGTCCATAGCTACCACGGCCTCAGTCACAGTGCTGGCCTTCGTGACTGTGTGTCTTCGACTACTCGCCCGTTATGAGCGGATGCAAAAGCTGTGGTGGGATGACTATATGATCATCTTTTCTATGGTTAGTACGGCCTTCTCACCCCATTGAATCCCAACCGCATAGTTTCTGATCATCGAAATATAAGCTATGGAACCTGATTGTTGTGGGATTCATCTATGCCATGATTCATAAGGGAATGGGACTCCACGCAAGCACTGTTTCGCCGGAAAACGTGGTTTTAATTGCAAAGTATCTTGTGGTGGCCGAAGTTCTCTACGTGTTCAACCTAGTCTGGACTAAACTGAGCATTCTACTCATGTACTACCGGATCTTCCGCTTTCCTTACTTCAAGACATGGGCATACATCATTGGAATCTTTATTATCCTTTGGGTGATCTGTATAACCTTTCTCTTCATCTTCATCTGCGTCCCCGTCCAGAAGCTGTGGTATCCCCAGATTCCAGGACGATGCATCAATCAGGTTGCTACGTGGGTCGCCAACGCTATCTCAACAATCGCAACCGACGTTGCTATCCTACTCCTTCCAATCCCACAAGTATGGAAGCTCCAACTTCGACTCGCGGAAAAGATAGCTGTTTCAATCGCCTTCAGCTTGGGGTTCTTGTAAGTCATTCACTATCCAAACAAAAAAGAAAGACCTCCAATCTAACCTCAACAGCGTCGTCTTCGCCTCCGCCTACCGTTTCTCAGTCCTCTTCAGCTATAGCCCAGCTGATTCGTCCTATACTCTTGCACCAACAGTTGGCTGGACCGCGATTGAGATGGCAGCCGGCATCGTTTCTGCCAATCTCCCAACCCTCCGCCCTGCTTTCCGTTTTGGGGCACGCATGCTTGGTATCCACGGTAGAGTTTTGGCTCTCTTCAGGAGTACAAACAGAACGACATCCAAAACCTCGGACGCTATCACTCAGCCTTCAAGAGCAGCAGAATCCACTACCACCATCATTCAGCACACCAAGCATCCGAAACGGCACTCTTTCTATCACTTACCAGATGATCCTAGCTCAGTGGGAGAACAGCCACGAATGGATCCCTCATTCGGGCCGGACTATGATCACGCAAAGACATACACCAATGTGTTGGGTCCGAGAGTTGGCGATCATTCTGATGGTGATGAGATTCCCCTGACTGAGATTAGAGTCGACAAGGAGTTTACCCAGACTACGCGGTAAAGAGATTTGTCCTCTGTATATATTTATATTACGGTTTCAATTAATATCATAAGATTGGTCATCCCTCAGCCGCCCACTGGCGAGTCGTGAAAATGTTTAGCTTAAAATATACATCGATGTACATCATACGGCATCCTAGGTAGAACGTACAGTCGCACCCTATAATCCCGGGCAGGAGCCAGGCCGCTAGGTACGTTTGACCAATTGCTTTGGGGCTTTTCACTTATTACTGCTACCCATTACCTATATCGTCAAAAGCTCACAACTGGACCGTCGCTCCAGCTCTGTATACATTAGGAGGCACGTGATGGAACTAATCCATATGGAGGCCGCTTACTCAGGTCGCTCGGCCAGCGATGGGCAAGACAGTTTTACTGCATTGGCGCATTTGGGTATTTTAATCCAACGCAAGCCACACATGGTTATTAGATAGGATATGTTATTTCGAGAGCTCCTCGCGACGCAATCAAAGTGCACGAATGGCCAGACCTACTACCAGGGCGTTGATACATGCTAGCAACAAACCATCACCACCCTGAAATTGAGAGAGAAACAAACACAGTCAGAAATCTAGATGAATAGGATCATTTGAAAACAGCAGACCAATTAAATCAGCCTCAAGCTTACAGCTTTGAGATAGAAATCCCAGGTGACCCCGCAGAGCCCTAATCAGCCCCGCGATAATTAGCAGACCCAACCGCCCAAATTTTTTCCCAGCTACACTCCCCTCCAACCCACCCCTTGGCAGCCCGCGACGTTCACAATGTCGAAACAACTATCCGTCATCCTCGGCACAACCCTAACACTCATCGGCCAATTCCAAACGGCTCTCACCACACCCCCAACTGCCGCAACCGAAGCCGCAAAAGATGCCGAAGCCTTGCCCCTCCTAACGGTCTCGTCGAGCGCGCTCAAAGCACAAATCACGAAACTCTCTTTGCTAGCCGTTACCTCGCCCTTTACGCATTCCGCTGTCGGAGCTGTGCTCCGCGAGCTCAATGAATCCGTCCTACCGTCGCTCGTGACCGCTTCTCTTCTCGTTACACCGGGTCAATACACCAAGGCATTTCACTCTGAGGTCCTGGCTCTTGTCAAGACAACTTTGACGGAGCTTTCGGTGCTGATTCAGGAGGTCAAGCGCGTCGGAGAGAAGAAAGATCAGGAGAAGAAGGATACAGGGAAGGAGAGCGATGTGACGAAATCTGAGAAGGATGCTGTGATGCTTGCTACGGGCCGTGCCTGGGATGCGTGTGACGCTACGACAGATGTTGCGAATAAGGGGGTCGTTGGGTTTGTCATGCGTCGCGTCGAGCAGTGGAGGGATCTTGTTCGCGACGCGGTTGAGGAAATCGAGGATTGGGACCCTGAAGAAGAGGATGATGGTTTCTTGGATGATCTTATGGGTGATGAGGGAAAGAGTGCTGGGGATGATGATGATGGGGACAGTGACGAGGATAACGAGGAAGAGGTGGCTGCCCTTCAGGAACAGAAGAAATCTACTCTTCGTTTCCTCAAGCCTATTGCTCAGGTCTACCCGGCTGTCATCAACAATAGGCTGAAGAATGCTGGAAATGTGCCGTTGGCTTCGTCATCTGGTGTCAAAAGACTGGAGTCATTGATGTTGAATCTGCAAGCAATCCCGGACGATGTCGATGAGGCAGCTGGCGCGTTGTACGAGGCCAATTTTGAAAGCTCTGCTGAGTATCTGCGGAAGACGAAGAAGTGTGCCACACAAGCGGTGGAATTGGTCGCGTTACCCTGGGATGCTGCAAAGACCAAGGACGACGCACCTACAGACAAGTTCGCTACATGGTCGAAGACGTGGCTCAAGGTGATTGACGAGGTCAGCAAGCCAATTGAGAAAAACTGAATGTAATCATTGATCATGACACTACAAAAAAGATAATGATGAAATAATAAAAGCCCGAGAAAAGCATAGACAGCAATTATCATATATATTTACATAGCACAAACATGGTCATATTATACAAGCCTTCTTAAATCAGGACCTCCAGTTAGATCCCCTGTCTTAATACTCTTCCTCGGGAGCTTCGTGTTCCCGCTCCCATTCTGGAAGATCACTAATGGGAATCCGGTCTCGCAAGAATTCCAGGATCGCATCGGTTCCTTTGGCAACTACTTGCCAGCGAGGTACTCGGAATCGATTACCAGCCACCTCAAACCGTCTTAAGGCCGATCCATTGCCCCAGTTCTGAGGAGAGCGTCCAGCAGCCAGTAGGCCAATCTTTGGAGGAAGCGAATCAAGGTCGTTGTTGCTTAGCTCCAAGACCTGCAGCCCTTGTACAGCTTCGAAGTCCAGACTAGCGATCTGGTTGTCCGAGGCTACAAGAGTCTTGAGCTCTGGGTAGATCTGTCTCAGATGGGGGAGTGGTCCCTTCAAACGATTGTGCGACACATCCAAAAAGGTCAAAGATGGGGCTATCAGGTTGGATAAGAGAGGGTCCCATGAAGTCAAGCTGGCCGAGTTCAAAGTCAGTGACTGAAGCTTGGGCAACTCAAGTGGGGAAGACAAGAAGTCAGCGCCACTCAAGGGGTTGTGTGAGAGATCAAGCTCGACCAGACATTGCGCAAGCATTCCAATTGCAGGGGCTGGTAAGCAGGTCAGCTCATTGTGCTGAAGATAGAGACATCGAATGTCCAGCAATGGAATCATCTCCAGCTGCTCCACCTTAAGATCGGTCATTTCAGCATAAGACTTGTCAAGAATCCCACCGGATTTGATCTGCCAGCTGCCATCGAGCGCGGGATTCTCAGGCGCTAAAGTGAATTGCGTGGCGACTGAGCCCTCATCATCTGTGTCCTGAGGATCGGGCTCACAACGACTCCGCAAGTCTAGTTTAATATCATCGGTGTCCATTTTCAGCAGCCTGCGCTCACGAAGGGGGTTATTGGAAACTCGGAGAGAGGAAAGGTTTTCCATCAGTCCAATCTTCTCATCCAAGTGCGTAAGGACATTTCCTGTGAAATCGGCCTTCTTGAGGCTCTTAAGCTCCACAAACCCTTGTGGAAGGTCTGCGATTTTGTTTTCCTCGGCAGACAGCGTTAACAATGACTGCCAAGAAGACATACATGGGAGATGCGTGATGCGATTGACACTGATCAGGAGAGTATGTAAATTAGGAAGTTCAAGTGCATCATTAGCAGAAAAGACCATCACGGCGTTATTGGCGACATTCAGGGACTGCAATTTCTCCAACTTCTTCACTGTTGCCGGTATCAAAGTGCCTTCTAGCCTGTTTTTCTGCGCATTGAGCGTTTTTAAGGGTAGTTTGCTGAGGACCTCGAACGGCAAAGAAGTGAACTTGTTCTCACTGACATCCAGTGTTCTCAGAGAGCTCAATCCAACGAGCTCATCTGGGAGTTTGGTGAGAGTATTGCCACGTAGATCCAAACACTCCAAGTTAGGAAGACGACCAATAACGGAATTTAGTTCCCCTTGCAATTGATTATTCGCGAGTTTCAGATCTGTCAAAGACTTTATCTCCGTAATTATCTCGATACTGGCCATGTCCAAAGCATTATTCGATAGGTTGAGAATGTGTAAGTTTTGCAGACGTCGAAGACCCATCGGAAGTGATTTGAGTATATTCCCATGGAGATCCAGTGTTTCAAGACCCCCAAATTGAAGTCCTCGATCTTCACTGTCAGGATCAAACTCCTCCGGGTTGATATCGGGGAAGGTGGCATCTGAAATCTGTTCCAGCTCATTGTCCGCGGCATTAAACTTGACAAGATCAACATTTTCAAACCAGTTCGTGGAGTTATCTGGGTCATAGTCGTACATCGTCAGCACTTCTTTTGGAATCTCCTTCAAGGAAAACGCTGCGATGTTCAACTGGCCGGTGGCACGTGCTGTCTGTACGCGCTTCCGCATCACCAAAGAGTTGGATCCGTTGGGTAGTTGGCTGAAAGGATCGTCGTCGTCGCCGCCTGCCCACGAATCGAGAGGCATATCAGTGGGTGGGGCCTGATAGGCTTGCTTTTGGGGGCTTTCATTTTTCTCCCCGGCCGCCACCGCTTTACGAGCTGCCTTTGCCTTTGCTATAGTTTCACGTAGCGTGCTGGACGACTTGGAGACTTTTCTTGCTTCAAGTTCTGCCTGCTGCTCCGGGGACAGTTCATCATGCATGTTGGAAGACGTGGACACATGTCGTGAGCCCGTCGAGGGAGAGCGTAGGGTAGACACCTGCTCTGTTTGAGGTTTTCTTGTCTTCTTCACTTGGAGTGGTCTTTCTGGGGGACCCATGTTTGACTTAACAGACTTTGTGGGGGCCTTGCTAAGTGACGGGCGGAAAAGGGAGGGTTTTGATGTGTCCTTGTTCCCAATTGGTCTTTCGGATATATTTTTCTTGGGCGGGGAACTGACGTCCGTGTGAACACCGTCTCCCGGTGCTACACTATGTCTGGGTGACGGCTGCTTTAACCTTGATGGGCTCACAGTATCATCTGAGCCGCGGACTGGAGAAAGAGATCCAGCAGTCGACAAACGAGCCTTTGAGGGAAGGCGCAGCTTCGAAACAGGTTGTACATATAGCTCGTTACTGGGTGGTGCACAAGATGATGTCCTCGATGGCGACCTCGAGACATTGGACACATTAGACGGTGCGCGAGATGGGGATCGTACCGGGCTGCTCCCATTAAAAAAGCTAGACTGCCTTCTAACCGAGGCCGGTGATGGTGGAATTTGCGCTAGTGTCTCAAGTGTACGCTCAGACAATGATGGGCGTATTCCACGTCGGCCACGTGCTTCTTGGGCGGATACGACTGATGCAGTATCATCATCCCCAGCAGTCGAGCTCGTCTCCTCTGGAAGATGTATCTCGTTTTCCTTGCCGTGGATATCGTCTTGCTTGAGGGTCGGGATGGGATCATCCTGCAGCTTAGGCGACGATAATTGCTGCGAGGACGGCTTTTCCACGAGTGAGTTGTAAGATGGTCTTCGCAACCTCCTTTCGTCCAAGCCAGGATCGGCTCGCAGTCTGTCTCGGGAAGGTGATGGTTTGATCGATTTTGATGCGGTGGTCGTAGGTAAAGGCAATCTTGAAGTAAGTCGTGGGATGCCACTTGTAGGACGAGGTATACCACTCGTAGGGCGTGTCGATGTCTTAGGTTGTCCTTCCATATTGGCCTTTCAGTTGCTCGTGGTAGTCTTCGGTCAGGGAGAAAGTCGCACGTCAAGAAATTCGGTCGCTCATTTCCGATGAGAGTGGGACAAAGAATGTGAAGGGCGGGGAGAAGTCGCAGTGGCAGTTTTAGCCCTGTCAAAATCGTGGTCTGTGGCGCAGAAGAATGAAGAAGCAGAGGTCTAGAATTGTTTCGAAATCGGATTGTTTACATTTGTAAGGTCTCACAATCCCGCTATCGTCGCCTCAGGCATCGTTCGATTTAGCCCCGATTCATGAAATGTTTTGTATCAAGCAAACAGAACACGAATCTTGTATCATTTTTTTGTCGTATATTGATATAACTTTACTTGAATCTGTATTTGGCTACTCTTTTATATGAATATTATCCATTTATTTTGTGGTCGTCTGACCCATAGTCAGCCTCCTCCGTCGGATATATACATCAAAGAGCACTGTCACATCACAAACAAATATTCAGCGCAACTCATAGCAGCGATCTTAAAAACCTCCTTTCAGTAGAGCTTAGGCCACCACTACCGATGTAAGTAGGGGTCAGAAAAGACATGTGTTGTCACATCTCACCAATAAGTATAGAGGATAGAAGCATGTCCTGGTATACTGGACCCGGGAGTCTGCGGGTAGAAGAATATTAGGAGTAAATACTTCCCATTTGTGTCTAATATTCTTCTGTTGCTCAGTATATCTTTGATAGATTGAATACTTTGCTTATGTTCAAATGCGAATCATGGCAATCGCAATTTCAAAGATCTAGTTATTTGCAATTACCGCCGAAAGAGGGCTGATGTCTTGAACTGCTTCAAGCAGTCACTAAGAGGGCCCGGCCCCGTGGGTATTATGTCCATAAAAGCCCTGTGTAATGGGTTTGACATGCTAGATATATAGTGTGTTCCTTTGTTATACATAGATAATTCGATCGTTATATATTGAGTGCTCCGTATAAGCGGGAAATTTCAAGACAAACGTTCTCTCTATTCCCTTCCGATGATGTTATGGAGGAATCCTAGATTGGTCCCAAAGTATCAAAATCCAAACACCTCATGATATCATACAAATCGAGATCTTGATGCTTATCGGTTGCCTGCCCAACCCCCCAGCGCTTGCCCGGTCGCGGGTGTTTACTTGCCCTGAGCGTCCCGTGATCATCAGACTAACCCAAATAGGCTTAGCAGGACCATTTCATCACCTCTGATTGGCTCATATTCTTAGATAATTGACCGGGCTGGGACATGGACTAACCCAAAGCGGGTACCTTGAGACTCTCCTGTTCCCAGCCTCCCAGCCCCTCCCAATAACGCATTGAGTAACTCTCTTAAGGTCTCGCTGAACTCCATTATTCTCCCTTCTTTCATCCTTCTCCAATCTTTCCAAGTCATTGTCTTCTTAGCTTGAAATTTTAGAACCCTTGCTCCCTGATCCTCCATCTTCCTTGGCTCCTAAGGCATACCTGGAGCATCTGTGCGACCGAGCCCAAAACCTGACTGATATCGGTCTCCGGTATGTACATAACTTTTTTTGGCTCTTCAATCGTCTGCGATAAAGATGCTGATAAGAAGAATAGTGTGAGGACCCGTTTCCCCACGGCTAGCCCTTGTGGTCTTATCAAAGCGATAGTTGATATCAACACCACTACATAACTACACATCCATGTCTCAAAGCGCCTCACAAAGCTCACTTGGAGCGCCTGTAGAGATCGTGCCCTCAACCCCAGTCCGCCGGGCCACTTTGTCCCCGTCGCCAGAGCTCAGCGATATGGCAAAGCACCCATCATCCCAGTCGGATAAGAAGTTCCTCTCACCCCCGCCATTGTCGTCATCAGATATGACACCTCCACCTTCATCTCAAATCCCAGGGGCCCCGCTTCGTTCTCGCTCACACTCGCGCTCTCTGAGCCCTGCATTGATGAAACCGACCGATATAGACAAGTCGTTGTGCGATGCCTACGGTGCCTCCGAAAATCTGCCCACCGTGGAGGAAATCGACAACGCCAGCGAAACCCAACTGCGTACCATTGCCAAGGACCTTCTAGCTGTAGCCCGAGAGTCGCGCATGTCTGCGCTGCACTTCAAACTACAGAACAGCTTAGTTTCCTTCGCTAGCAATGAAGCTGTCAAGCGCGCCGAGGTAGAGCATCAGCTCGCCAAGCGGGAAGTTGAGATCATTCAGAGCGCCGAGTACCGCAGTCGCTCGCGCCCCGCGGATCCCATCACGCCCAAGCAGTCCCAATCCGTCTTGAACTCCGATTATCTCTCGGCAGTTCAGCGCTCACAGGAACTAGAAGAACTCAACACCGTTCTAGACCGAAGACTTCGAAAGGCGAAACGCGCCATCGATGAAGCTACTAGTCGGTCTCTGGACCTCGAGGAGCAGAATCTCATGTTGAAGCGCCGGATTGGTGACAACCGCAAGCACTTTTCTCAGATCTTTAATTACAGCAGCATGTCACCGGGCACCCAGAATGATATACATAATATCTGCCACGGTGAACACACAGATGGTCTCGCCGCTCTTCTTTACGCCGACAAACTCACCAACCAGACGCACGCTTATGGTACCCACTCTACAACCTCTGTCCCTGTCACCCCAAACCACTCAAAGACCCAGTACCTCACACCAATCGGGCACCCAAAAGAGGACCACTATGATAGCGATAGCACCGTATCCCTCTCAGCCTCTGAGGCTGCGGAAGAGGCTCTAGGCTCCCCGCACCACATGCGCTCCGCTGTCCCCAAGAGCAGCACATTGCTACAGACAAAGTTGTTCGGCCAGGTGCAGAAACCCGGCGTGGAGCGATCTCGTGCTGGCAAGCGCAAGGCAGCCAGTGACGCCAGCATTACCGCCACAAAGAAGTCTAGAACTACGAATGGTATTGGCCTGGGCATCAATGCTTGAGTCCATATCCCGTATCCACACGAATAACTCGTGCTTTGATATGATTGATGACCTAGCGCTGCTTTGCTTGTTACGATTATGGGAACCTCACGAATGATGAAGACATGCCAGATATGGTGTTTTCAAACTAGCGACTGATTTTTGTGGGCACTTTGTTTATGTTTTTTTTTCGAGGGGGAGTGGGATTCTTTTGTATGGAGAGGCCATGCGAGACAATGATCCATGACCCTTCACATGTGGCGTTATTACATTGGCTTTTTGATCCGGGAATGATGGCTGTCTGTTGTGCGCCCATTCGTCCTCATGGACTTGAATGGTGGAATGAAGCCAACGGGCTATACAGCTATACATGGGATTTTGGGATATGAAATTGGGATGGTACAACCATGTACAATAGGGATAGAGTGTTCAGGAGACTAACAAATTACAAGAAAGCAATATATGGAATTTTTAGGACCAATGAAATCCATCCAATATTTCAAGCCTTTGGATTTCAAGTCCAAGATTGATATCATAGCAGACAAGCCTCAAATAAAAGAAATAAAAAATAACGAAATATAACTCTGGCAGATTACCGAATCCGGCTTGGTTAGGGCTCGCTAAGCGAGGCGGTGTGTCAGTCAGCGGGCGGCCACACGAAAAATGGGAACTTCATTTTCTGCCGTGAAGGAGGATTTGACCAGCAACCCTCGACGACCACCACCCGGCTCGATCCCCATCCGTCACCATGGTGCGTTCCCTATCCCTGCTTGGAAGATACAATGAAGGATTCGACTTGTGCGATTGAGAGAAATCGACGGATCGAAATACGCCTCGAAAAGAACGAAATGGTTGACTGACCGATTGTGTGGGATATATAGGCGATCAAGCACAACAACCAGATTCAGAAGAACCGTGAGTGACCCATGGCTTTGCACCTCTATGTGGTCGCTTCGAAACGACAGAAGGACATGAGGAAATGAGATATGAAGGAATAGTGATTAACGAATTCTTGATTAGACTTCCACAAGGACTGGCAGCGTCGTGTCCGTGTGCACTTCGACCAGGTACGACTTTCCAACCTCCCCCCGACCACAGAAGATTTTTTATTCCGAACGATGTCGCAAGCAACTTGGAATCGAGGAAAAATTTTCTTCGCAGGATATGAATTTGGTCGACTAACTTGAATCGCACAGCCCGGCCGGAAGCACCGTCGTCGTGAGGCCCGCATCGCTAAGGCGGCTGCTGTTGCTCCCCGTCCGGTCGACAAGCTGCGTCCCGTTGTCCGATGCCCTACCATCAAGTACAACCGCCGTGTCCGTGCCGGTCGTGGTTTCACCCTCGCTGAGCTGAAGGTAAATTGAGCTGCATCGAAAAGTGGAGGCACTATGAATAACTTTACTGACTCAATCTCTTTTTTTGCGCTCTATAGGAAGCTGGTATCCCCAAGAAGCTTGCTCCCACCGTCGGTATCTCCGTTGACCACCGCCGCACCAACTACTCCAAGGAGTCCCTGGTTGCCAATGTCGCCCGTCTCCAGGACTACAAGGCTCGCCTGATTCTCTTCCCCCGCAAGAGCGGTCAGTTCAAGAAGCTCGACTCCTCCGCTGAGGAAGTCAAGGCCGTCAAGGCCACCGTCGCTGAGGGCAAGCGTGACGGCATCGCCACCCGTGTCGAGGCTACCTTCCCCATCACCAACCCCACCGCTGCTGAGGCCGTCACCGAGGTCAAGCGCGACTCGCTCCCCAAGGGCGAGGAGGCTGCTTACCGTCGTCTCCGTGACGCCCGCGCTGAGGCCCGCTACAAGGGTATGCGCGAGAAGCGTGCCAAGACCAAGGCTGAAGATGAGGCCAATGCCAAGAAATAAATGTGTTAATTCCCTCCTCGTGCTGATGATGATGATCGGGTCGGTTTTCGAATCGGGGATTAGTGTACTCTGGCATGTCGTTGCGCCTCTTCCTTGATTCCCTCTCTCCCTCCCCAACTTTTACTCCTTTTTGTCTCTAAAAGAAAGAACTCGGAAGATCTCTCGAAATTCAAAACCGCCCAATTCTCTCAATCTCGACTTTGTCTCTGTATCTCTAATGCTTTTTGTGGCTGTTTAGCTGGTAGTCCAGGCCTGGTATCTTGGGCCTCCAGCTAGGACAACATGGAAATATTATCGTAGATCATTACATTGTATCTTTGTAGCTTTGGTATGGATATAGGTTTTGTTCGGAAGAATGGGAATGCTCGCATTCTGCACATATTTATGTGTATGTGAACAACTGACTATACAGCTATCAACCAGCTCATATATGAAGGCTTAGCTTCTAAGCAACACTCGTTCAAGGCAATACATTAAATTCTGCAGTCTGGGCTCTGCTCGGGTATCTTCAAGAAAATTACGCTAAATTACCGCTCCAACGTCAATTGACAATTGTCTCAAAATATCAAATCAAGAAAAAAAATCAAAGACCACTGAACAAAGCACCAAGAGCACCTTCAGTTGCCCTTACCACCGCATTAACATGAATACTGCCCTCCACGCCTCGTGGACCCAAAGCCCCATCCTCACGTAGCAACGCATGGAAAAGCTTCTTTGTCTCCTGATCGATTTTCTTATCTGCCCCAGTGATCGACACGCTAATCTCAGGCCGCAGCTGAGGCTCTCCAGTCCATTCATCCAACACCAAAGTATTTGACAAAAGCACTCGGGGACTGGAGTCAGAGTGTTTAGGCTTGATGACCATGCTATTCCGATCTAAGTGTGGGATCAATCGTCGCAGTTCAGAAAATGTGATAACGCCGTGCTTGCTTTCCGAAACAGTATCATTTCTGCCCTGTGAGGCCCGGCGGTTGTATTTCAGGTCGATATGTGCCCATAAACGGGCGCGAGTGATTGCAGATTCCCAGTACCGGTTGATTCCCCAGCATAGAGTTGCCACGTCGAGTTTCAAGAGAGGGTTATCTAAGCGGGCATCAATCCATCGGCGAAGAGCTTCAGGGACTTTTCTTTTCTTGCTGTCGCTGCCAGTGGGCACTGAAAGAGAGACTAAAGACTGGGTCTCGGGATTTGTCTCATAGACAATAGTCACATTGTATGAACCGGCTGGGAATGGAGATGGGGGAGAAAATGTCAGTGTGTGTGTTTCTGACAGCTCGTCGATGCGTGACGACCGATTTGTGCGGGCTTTGAGGGTCAAAGGTGCGAAGGCTGTTAGGTATGGCAGTGATTGAGAGGCTTCTTGCAGAGCAAATGGATTTGTTGGTAGTGATGATAATTCAGGTTTTGGGCGAGGTATATTGGCACCGAACGGGAGTAGAGTAGCGAGGAGTGATGATATTGATTTGGGAGCTGTCTTGGGCACTGGAAGACTTGCACGATTCGCCTCTTCGGATGTGAGTAAAGACCTAGAGATTGTCAGCAGTGTTCAAGCCAAAGTTACCTGTAAAACCCACAGAAATTTGTCGAGTCCTCTGTTATCACTTTTCCAGTCAGGATTGGACTCGATTTTCTTTGCCCATGTTTCCAGTTCTTCAACTTCGCTTCTCAACCGTCGCAGATCTGCCGCGCTCTTCTCGCGCGAAATGCGTTTCTCGCGAACAGCCGCTGACACTGCACCGAGGTCTGATACTGTCTCAAAGTGTTCCGGTGGAGGGGATTGGAAGTTTACTGCTTTCAATGGGCTTTCGTGTAATGCATTAGCAATTCGTCGTTTCACTCGTTTCTCCGGTCGTCTACTGGGGCTGCTGCTCAACATCCCCCTAGGTCGATCCGGGGCCTTCTCTAAACCTAGTTGTGTTGGCGTGGGGGGAAGATCAGGTTCGAGGATATCTTCATCCATGAAATTAGTGTCCAGACCCATATCCATATCTGCTTCTTTCGTGGCGCTACCCAGTTCCAATGCCAATTGACGTTCTGGGGTATTCGATTCGGGGTTTTTTGGCTGTGGCATTGGGGACCCAAACACAAAATCTCCTGGGAGAATCCTCCTTGAAATCCTGCGCGGGGGCTTTGAGAACGCTTGCACGCCACTTGAGCGCCTGTTGGGCGAACTTTCGGGCGCCTCAGAGCCTCGAGGTCGGGTGAGGGGACTTGCAGAGGCATTGAGCGAGGGTCGGAGCGCTTTACGGTCGCGCAATCCAAATTTTCGAGGATCTTGGTGCCCAGTATCGTTGCTTGCTAGTCGTCGGGCAGGAGATCTGCTGATTGCGCGCTCTAATACATCGGGATGTGATCGTGCAAGACTGGCCCTCGTTGGAGACTGGAAGGAGGGTCGTCTCGACCGATGCAGCTCATGTTGAGAAATCTCTGGTGCCACAGGAATTCCTGACGTCGCACTTATTTTCCTTTTTTTTGCTGGGGAATCCATTGTCGCGTGGGGTGCTCTCGTCTTGCCCGAGGCGCAGATGACGGGAAGATAAACAAGCCCACTGTTTGCAGTGTTTGTACTATGACTTAATCGCCCCTCGTGCACACACGATCTTGTCTTTCTCCTACTCACGCCATGGAGTGTCTCTCGGCAGGTACAAGATACTCGCTAATGAGATCTGTTTTTCAACTTCGCTCTTTCCCTGACAGAACGTTTCCTTCATTTTCTTCACATCGACAATATGCGCTGGTTCCGACCCCCCGGCGCATGAACGGACACCGCCAATCCGACCAACCCGATACCTATAATACTCCAGCTTCCCTGGAGGAAATCGCGGGTTCCACTCAAGCTCACCCTCTGTCGGGATACTATTCATTGATTTTGAAATCAGACTCACCATACGCTGCCGGTGCATCGACATCGCGCCCGACACCCGTTCGGCCCGAGGCCAAACCCACGCCGACATCTACCGCCACACCGCAATCGCCTCAAGAAAAGATGGCGATTGTATTTGGAACCCCTCTCGCTGGTCCAGGCCGGACTTCACGCTATAATCCTGGTGAAGCTCCTCCAGAGTCAATGTGGAAGACCATCAATGGAGTCCCTATTCCTCCCCAACCCGAGGAACCGGACAATTGCTGCATGAGCGGATGTGTACACTGTGTTTGGGATGACTTCCGGGATGAGATGGAAGACTGGGCATCCAGGGTTGCAACGGCCAAAGCTAAGGGTGGGCCTGAGAAGGGAACGAAGGACATGCGCACGGCGCCTCGAGCGGAAGTCCGCTCAGCCAGTGCCAGCATGGATGATGATGGCGGTGGCAGTGAAACAAACTGGACTCTGCCAAGTCAGGATAATGACTTATTTGCGAATGTCCCTGTTGGTATACGGGAGTTCATGAAAACGGAGAAAAGATTGCGGGCGAAACGTCAGGAGGATGCTACAGTGTGAGCTCATGGGGCTTATTTTCTTGCTTGTTGATTTTTATACCCTGTGTTATACTACATTAGAACAAATCGGGGGACTTGTGCCTAGAGCGCATCAGACATAGCGTATGGTATATAGATAGACTGTAAATAAGACCTTCAAATGATGCTACGACATTTTCTTATCCCCGTTCAACAAGATACCTATTAGAAGCAGTTGTAATTGTACATACTTGGTGCGATCCCGACACGACCCTTTAGTATGAGTATTTTGATATTCGCGGTGAGCTCGGTCTGTGTCAAGTCCATCTTTAAGGGGGCTCTCGGACTTTTTTTGGTCAATCCTCGAATCTGCACTTACGGAGTACACTGTTTAAGCTTGAGTCCTGCGGCTGACGGGTTTTACCCACACCCTATCGGGTATATTTTACGACTTTCAACAATACAACCTCCCAAAATGTTATATAATTTACACATATTAATCTCAATCAGGAAACTAACCAGAGACTTTAATTAGACCAGTAATAATATATCCCTTTGCTTAGCATGGAGCGTAAGGCCTGAGCCCTCATTGGCTCGTGTTGATAGTCTTTGTTCCTATTTTGGTAGTAAAACTATCGGACGCTTTTGCCTGTTCTTATGTGACTTTAGCTGGAATTTGGTAATATGTACTATCTTGAAGAAGTAATTGGTGAATTCGCCCGTTCTTTGACATTGGACATCCAAAGGTCTCTCCTTCATGACGACAATCGCACCAAAGAGTTCCTGGACAATCATTCCAAACTATTGAACGGGTAGATCTGGTAGGCATAGTACAGGTGACCACTACTTTCTTGGTGTCAAAAAGCGGTTTGATTCGTTTTCGAATAACAATCCTTTGATGCTGGCGCTACTTGCTCAAGTCTCTCACATGTCTGCTTGCATGTCAAGCGAGCGGCTTCTGGAACATCCTTCTCAATCAGCTTTTTGTTTCAGCCTATGGGCCACCTCCAGGATCTAGTGTTTGTGTTGCAATGACTTTTATACTCCTTCGACTGGCAATTATTTCTCCGAAACGTTTCAGAAAAAGAGACTGCAAAATATTCTTTACGTCGACGATCCGTGGTGGCCTCCCACTGGCCCAGGGCACTGGGAAAGGCATACTGTATTACCACATGGATGCAGAGGACACACATATTGGGTATGGATGCCAATGATCAACTTGAATACAAATTGAGAAGATATCAGCGGCAGACTTTATAAGGGCAATTATTTGATACGGACATCGCACATGGGCAGGCTGTGGCTCTCTCGATCGAGTAAACACCGTTATGTTGTTGCATAAAAACCCAAATAATAGGGTATCTACTGTGCAGAATTCATATTTTAATGTCCGCATAAAAGCTTTAGCCATGTATTCAGACATCCTGTTGGCCTCATGTATAAATATAACGTACAACATACGTGTTACATGCAGTAGTTCAGAACTAGTTCGGTCAATGACGTATATGCTTGATTCCTGCTTCAAATGTCCAAATTTCCACATGTCGTGTAAGTATCTAGATGAAGATTGAATCCCCTCTAGCTTGGATGGAGGAAATAGTCCTTAGCTCAATGTCGAGACTCTCAATATCTAATTTGGTCAAAAGTAGGCTGTGAGACCGTGCACAGATGCCCGGGGGGCCTTGTTGAATCGGAATAACTGCCATGCAGAGCGCGGGGTTTCAATTCATAAATCATAATGAACGGGATTCGAGGCATTATTTTTGTGTGTTGCACAGTGAGAGTGACCGGGGGAGGAAGCAGTATAAGTGTCCTCGTAATATCGTAAATCTCGAAACCAAAGAGCTTCAGATCTTTTCTATGATAGCCCTAATCATGGCGTTTATGCCTAGCCCTTCAACGCTTTCAAGCATGCAAGACATTTCAATTAAACTTCTCATTTTGTTGAAGCTGAGCTTGACGTTGGTAAGCCCAAATCTGTCCTACCGGGTTGTTTCAATGGATTTTGATCTAATCAAGGACTTACTTCGAAATAGATCCCATTTTTTCTCATAGGTCTTCTAGTCTATAATGTATATTTTCATCCCTTGGCCAAGTACCCAGGACCAAAATCCATGGCAGCCACACGTCTACCTTATATCCGCATGATTCTGGGTGGTCGGTTCCCCCAAATCATGAAAGTGCTACATCAACAGTACGGCAATGTAGTTCGCATTGCCCCCAATGAGCTTTCATTCATAGATGGCTCGGCCTGGAAGACAATATATGGCACACGTGCCGGCCATAGCCAGAAGCCCAAAGATAATCGATTCTATGTACCACCTGCTGGAGAAGCTCCCAGCATCATCACCTCCAATGACGCCGACCATTCCCGCTTTCGACGATTGTTGTCACACGGATTCTCCGATAGCTCGCTGCGCAGTCAGGAACCCATAATCAAGGGCTATATTGATCTTTTTATGCAGCGCCTGCATGAGAATATGGAGGGCGGGACAAAGACCGTTGACATGGTGGCCTGGTACAACTTCACGACCTTTGATATTATTGGAGACTTGGTTTTTGGGGAGTCGTTTGACTGTCTTCAAAATTCTGAGTATCACCAATGGGTATCCATAATCTTCAGCACGCTCAAGTTTGGTGCCTATACAAATGTGTGTCGGCGTTTTCCAGGATCAAAATATGTCCTCTCATGCATCCTTCCCGAGAAGGTTGCCTCGCAGAGAAAAGAACACCTAGCTCTGACCAGGGCAAAAGTCCATGGCCGGATGAACAAGTCAAATGAGAGACCTGATTTTTTTGCCAACATCTTGAAGCATCAGGACACCGAGAAAGGATGTAGCGTTCCAGAATTGATCAGCAATAGCAGTACTTTGATCATTGCCGGCTCAGAGACCACTGCGACATTGCTTTCTGGTGTGACGTACCTGCTGCTGAAAAACCCGCGCGTGCTGGCAAAGCTTCAAGATGAGATCAGATCCGCATTTACTGAAGAGAGAGACATCACCTTGGAGGCATGTAATAATTTGAAGTACTGCCTGGCTGTCCTCACTGAAACTCTTCGGGTTTATCCTCCAGTTTCAATTGGACTGCCTCGCATCGTTGATTCTGAAGGTGATATGATTGCTGGGAATTGGGTGCCAAAGGGAGTAAGTACAAAACTGCTTGCGAAGCCACTCAGCGCCGCTTACAGGTCTATAGACCATCGTTTCCGTCCCCCAACTAGCTGCCAATCACTCCCCTACCAATTTCACCGATCCAGAGCAGTTTATCCCAGAGCGTCATTTGCATGATCCTCGCTTTGAGAATGACAGTAAGACTGTAATGCAACCGTTCAGTCTTGGCCCTCGAAATTGCATTGGACGCAAGTAAGCTCTTCAGTTTGCGTTTGTGCTCGCTATTTACTCATGGAGATTTCTTTAGTCTGGCATACGTCGAAATGCGTATAATTATTGCTCGCATGATCTTCAACTTCGATATGGAATTGGACCAGCCTGAACAAGACTGGATGGATCAAGATTCCTTTCTGCTATGGAACAAGCCAAAGCTGATGATTAAGCTAAAGCCCAGAATTCAGCCCAAATAGCTGATAGCACCATTGAGGTACTGGGGCTATGATTCTGTGAGGTATTGTGTGCGAAGGTCCATTGGTGATGGATATTGATATCAGATTGGAGCCCATACAATTTGGATTTCTGATGGAAGAACACAGTAAAAGAGGGAGATGGCCCAGATATGCTTCAGCTTCTTGTTATATGACTGAAATCAAACAGTCAACCAGATTATCATGGCGCGATATATTAGCGCAAGAATGCTTGAAAACATTTCGATCTGATAGATAGATTATTGGTGGCTAAAAAGCAGTTCTCAATTGACAAGTAGACTCGATGCTCATTGAGCGTTTGTCGCCAGTAAAAGCTAGTTCTCGTCATATATTCACAGGGTATCATGTTTCTTTCACCGATATCTTGCTCATCTAGCACTCATGTCATTCCTTACCTGTCCTTTTCCCAATCCGTCTCATCCATGTACAGCATAGTACGTCTAAGCTTCAACTATTCAAGCGAATCAATATATAAGTAACATAAACTATTTTATCTGCCAGTCTCTACTTCTTCTGTATTAATTAACATCGAACCATTTCTCAATGAGTCCAGTTTGCTTAAACATAGCTGCATCAATTTATACATCCCCCCCTCACCGCCTGTATCGTATCGGCAAAAAAAAAAAGCGCACCGCAGATCCCAACCGCAAGACCGACTCGAATCTGCCAATAATTCCACATTGAGCACAAAGAAACCAAGATGTCGCTTTCTAAAAGCGAGTCCGATGTAATTCTCAACCGGGCGAATGTTGCTCTATCCCGCAGCCAACGGCTCGTAGCCTCATGGCTACCGCAACAAACAGCAGAAGAACTAGCAAACCCCAAGACCGAAGAAGAGCTCCAACGAGAAGAAGATGAAATCTTCACCGCAGTGCCAGAGACGTAAGTGCTGCTTCTGCCTTCCACCTACAATCCAGACATATCCCATACCACCGTCCCTAAATTCCATCAAACACCATCTGAACACACCAACTAACCATAACCCTACATTCACAGCCTCGGCGTCGGAGCTCCCCTCCCCCAGAAAGCAGCAGATGGAAGCTGGAACCGCACAGAGCTGGACTCGAATGATAAACTGCGCAAACAACTTCTCGGCAAGAACTACAATCGCGTTATGAAGGCCGCTGCCGAGCAGAAGGCCGCTGCTGCTGCTTCTCTAGCGGCGGCTGCATCTGCTTCAGCCAGTACGGCGAAAGCTGAGATCGAGGAAGAATACGATGAAGAGGATGGTCGGTCAGCTATGCTTGCTAGGCAGAAGAATAAAAGAAAGGGTGGGCCTGGGGCTGGTCGTGGTGTGCATCCTGCGGCTGCGGCTGCTGAGGCTGGAGATCAAGGTGGTGAGGAGGGTGGGGAGGAGGGCGCGTCTCAGCAGGCTCCTGCTCGCTCCAAGGGCAGAAAGAAGGCGACGAGTTATCTTGATGAGCTTCTGGCTGAGCGTGCGAAGAAGAGAAAGAAGAAGTGAAGATCTGCGGCTGATTAGTCCGATTCTATGTCCGCACGCACACGAGCGTTACACGAGCCTTCATTGGCTCTGGGCTTTCTTGGATGGATTATGCTCTGATCTTGGTCATTCTGGATGCGCCAGACACGGCGATTGACCCGTAGGTTCAGGTGCTTGCTTGGGGGTTGGACCCATGCCGATCAGAGCAGGCTTACCTACTGGGGCCTCACACTGCCAGCGGCCTAGACTACAGCGCAGTGTCTGTCCTTTGGCTAGACATGACCAGGGAAGACTGCATCCATACTCAAATGGCAACTCGGCTGAGTTGTCATACTGTGACATGCGCCACTCCAACAAAATACCAAGATCAAGCAGTCTGCAGAGAAAAAACATCATTTCAATTGATATAATCAAACTGCAAATATAAAATACAATTCAATTTCAGTCTCTTGCTCTAGGTGCCACAAGATTCAATGTTTTTGTTGCTCCGCCCAAACCGAGGGTATATATATGGTAAGATGTGTGTGAACGAGGTATGGGAACCCGGAGAGCCGTGGGCCAGTCGCCGAGATTGGCGTGCTTTCGCCAGAATTAAATATCCAAAAATAGAAAAGGTGAAAGTTGAAGAAGAAATGGGGGAAAGGGACATCTACAAGTGCAATTAAAAATAGAGATCAGAGCTGCGGACATTCTTCGGATGTCTGGAGTTGAGTGCCCTTTGCTCTGGTCAATGGTACATATGCAAGTCAAAAGAGCCGGGGAAGAAGAGGAGGGAGTAGCAGGGCTTATCGGAGGTATAGGGACTTGATAGGAGACTTGAGGAAGTAGTGCCACCATCATTAGAAGGTGGATGCCGGGATTGTTCCAATATTTAGGATTCATTCCAATCTTTTCCGCTTACGGTCTTCTGCCATCGCCTGCTGGTCCTCGTCAGGTCTTTCGGCAGTATCGGCAGGATTGAGCAATGAATGCACGTTGCTTGCCATGCTCGAGCGACGGGTTGCGGGCAATGAAGAGCCGTGAGGGAATCTCGAGCCGCCAAGTGTCCAGCCGTTGTCAACACCGAGCATGGACGGTGAGGGTTCGGCGATAGGTGGAGTGGCATGGCGGGATTGTTCTTGAAGGCGACGGGGCGCACCCATTTCATATTGGGCGAGGACATCACGAACTTGCTGGTCACTGGAGACTGGGGTTCGGTGCCCTGGTGATGAAGGCCAAGGGCCGTTTGGAGGATTGCCAGGAGGGTAGGGGGAGCCGGCTGAAGGGGACCAGCCATGCTGTCGGATGTCTGCAGAAGTGTGACGACGGGCCAAGCTAGGTCCTGGGGATGTAGAGACGGAGAGAGGGTGAGGCATTGGTTGTTGTGGGGGCGGCGCAACGGGAGGTTGGGGGCGAGCGTATGCTGAGGCAGAATTGGCGCCGCCAATCGAGCCGTAGCGGCGAGGGGATACTGAGAGATGGGAAGGGACGGGCGGCCGGATCATGTTGGTGGGTCGAGGGTTATGGTCCATCACAGACTGTCGACGAGCATCGTCCTGGGGCATTTGGCGCGGAGACAAAGGAGGACCAGCTTCGGTCATGTTGGCTAAGTACTGCTGCCGTGGAGGCATGAGAGTCTCGTGGGGGGTTTCGATGGCGCGCATAATTTCAATATGCTTCTCAACTTCTCTTTGCATGCTCGAGACTAGGGAATATCAGTGCATGATGCCATGAGTGAAGCAGCAATATTGACATACCATCACGATGCAGGGGACTTTCCCTATCGGGCACAACAGCTTGAAGGAACCGTGAGATAGAATGCGTCCACTGAAAACAGATTAGTACCAATACACCCGCACTGGCATAGACGGCGGACATACTTGGTAGCACTTTGTCAGGCTTTCAGTCATAGCATGACATCTCGAGTTCAATACGATATTGCCCTCTTCTGCCCGCACCAGACGACCATGCATCTCGTATAGGTTACTCTCAATATTCAAGAATCTGGCGTCGGTCGCATCAGGTACGGGTTCGGCGGGTGTTCCAGGCTGCGAAACGGGAGCCTTGTGGCTAGGGAATGAATCGCGATGGATCAAAGCGTGTCTGGAAGCACGGCGCTTGATCTCTCGTAGACCAGCTAGATCGCCTCTTTTGAAGTTCCCATTACCATGTTTGAATTCCCAAAGCGCGGAATCTGGGGAGCCGGTGTGAAAGACGTCGCTCACTAGCAGAGTCAAGAATGGTCAGAAATCGCCCAACCAAAGCTACCATGAGACACCCTCACCTTTGTGAAACCCATACATATTTAGCTGCCGAACGAACGAAGAGATATTGGTATGCTTGAAGTACGATCTGCGAGAGTCAGAGACGAGTGTATTGGCAGAGGGGATAGCACCCACGCTAGGACTTTGGAGAATTCCGATGTTGGCGACATGACGAAGCTATCGTTTGTACCGGACCAAGAGATGAGATGCTGGATGCTGGGATCTTCTAGCATACTGCCGGAAAAGAAAGGTAAGCCCATGGAGACAAAACACGAAGAGCAAAAACATACTTGTAAAGCTTGTGAATGAAAGCAGTCTGAACGACTTTTGGCTGCTGAGCTGCGGCTGCAGCGCCAATAGCTGGATTTGGAGCATTCAACGCATTGCTTCCAGCTTCACCATTGGTAATCCCGACCATTCGGTCTTCGCCATGCGCGCCCGAGGGCGGAGGGGTGATATCCATCGAATGCTGACCGGATGACGAAAGTACGGGAATGTTTCGTGTCCTGCCCGGGGCGTCCCCGGCAAATGAAATCCTAGTCGAAGGAGGGTCGGCAAGACGACTCATATCGGAGGGGGTCGGGTATATAAATGTTGACACAAAATGGATGCGACGGGATCGTGAGGGGTGGAATTCGGACGCGATGGACCGTTTATGCTCGTGCCGAAAGAACGTGGAAGATCAACCAATAATCAACACTTCTGTCATCGCGTAAAAATTGGATTATTTTCAGAGGAAAACAAATGACAGAAAGAAGAAAAAGAAAAAGAAAGGCTCGAAGTGTCTGGAAGGTCAAATGGCTCTGCGGGGAAGGGGGCCAGAAATGAATTGACAGTCAGATCTGCAGAAATAGAAATTATACAGGGATGAAAGAAATGAAGACCAATTGGATGTATTATTTGAGGTTATGCTCTTAGAAAAAAAAAAAGGGGGTGAAATGTAGGGCTTTAGTTGCCTAATTTCTACCCTATATAGTCTTGAATTCTGCCAATTGAAGCACTATAGAACACTAGATAACACTACTCCGTATATAACATTATAAAAGGATATATAGCATATCTCGCTATGAATAAAGTAGCTTGAGGTATCTCACTCTTAGTTTCGGCTTGTCTCACAGTACTCCGTATAGACTAAACATAGTTGTTACCTCCATAGTACCTGATTATATCTTGAACTACCCCTAAACCTCTAACCTCTGAATCGGACATTCCGAGATTGATAGACTCTGTATTTCACATACATGACCTTGTAATCCTTGGCTAGCGACATAGGTATTACTTTACAAAGAGTTTGTATTGACTGCAATCGTCCGCTAGTGTTCCGGTGGGTTTGACAGGGGTTGCATAGACTTGATATGGTCATTTCTTCAACGGATGCCCACTTTTGACGATTTTACTTATTGATTTTTATCTTCGGGTATTCATGAGGTCTATGAAGAAGTATGAGGGTCTGGTAAAAACAATTGGATACTCCATAGTAAGCTGGATTTTCATCAAATTGACTACCCTTCACTGATCACCATATTGCAATTCTCATATCAGGAATACCAGAGGGGAGCCATTCTTCATCAAAACACCAGATCCAGATTTTGTCATCCGAAGGGAATAGAACAAAGTCTCTATCCCCCAAAATCGAGTCGCATGTCCGGTTTTTTGGAAAGTCTACTATGTATCTGGGTTTGAATTGACGCCCCTTAGTGTCGAAGGCATGTGTGTGCTCTGGGAACTCACAGCTAATGCACAATCGAGTTTTTGTGGAGATGCCCAGGTCTTCCAAAGAGTAGTACAAACCCGGGCCTCGAGCTGAGTAGTCTAGATTGGTGTGTCGATTCTTGAAACCCAACCCTGGAGTGTGAAAATGCACAGTAATCTGATCATCTGCCTCGAGTGAAAGAGAAAGCGTATCTGAGTACGACACCATCAGGTGATTCACCAGTAAAATAGAACTTTGACCGGGGCGCAGGTATTCTCTGTATGGCTTCGTGTCTTCTGGTTCGCGTTGAAGCTCCCATGCTTCTTCCGATATGAAAGGAAGCTCTCGATATCGTTTCCAGGTACAGATAAACGTATTCTCATGGACAGAAAACTTATGTATCATCAAATAATGCTCATCCGAAAACAATGCGCCATTTTCCCAGGGCTGGGTCTTGTCGCCATATTTTCTGCGGGCGGAAACGACGGTGAATGCATCTTCCTCTGCGTGTACTGACAACAAAAGTATGAACGGCTCAAGTTGGATGGAACGGGCGACTCCGGAGTCAAAGCAGAAGTGGACTACGGAATCCGTATAGCCCAGCACAGCCTTCGAGCCGATGGATATGTAATGAATAAATTGCAATGAAGGAATGCGAAAGGACTTGTACTGTTCTGTGGATATGTGCCAAACATGACAATACCTAGCGCGTCCAGTCAGAAGTGCCTTTCATAAAACGAGATTCCTTTTCTGGTTACATACCCTCGAACAGAAGTCGCCGAAACCAAGGTGTCTGAGACCTCGATATGAGTAAATTTCTCTCGATTATCTGTGGTGAGAGTTCTGCTCTTGCCGGTTGGTAGGTGCACCACGAAGATAGTAGTTCTATCTGTGGATTCTTCAATCCATGCACATACTCCATCAAAACAGCTTATGCCGTCTCTGTTCGGGTCATTCTTCAAATCACGAGACAAGTTGTTAGGGATTGTGACGACAACAGCAGGCTGACCCCTTTCCGCTCGAATCCGCTTTCTTATCAGCGCGTTAAGATTGGCAGGTGAATCAGAGTTGATAATATTTTCTCCCATGTGGGATCTGATTGCAGCGGTGGTGACGATGGTTGAAGAGAGTAATTCCTGCCATCGTTGGGAGACCTTTGTAATGAATGGGTCAATAAAGGTCACGGATATGCAGATAGACGCCTACATACTCTCCGAAGAAGAAGAACATCTGCTAGTCCCAAGTATTCTGCTAGCATAGCCACCAATTCCAGAGGCAGTTTATCGAGAAAGTCACATTGAAAAGTTATCGATTCGAGTCTGTTTTTCACCTCACGTATCTCATGAGAAGTTAGGTTATCAATAATCCCGTTGATACTATTTGTATTAGCACTCGGTGTTAGCTATGAAAACTGGATGTAGGACATACACTGCTCGCCGGCTCGAGTTGTCACGGAGAGCCATGAAGCCCTTGAGGACTGGCTTGGTAGGTGAGGCCATGTTAGAGTAAGGATCAACTCTCAAATGAAAGTCCTGGATGAAGAAGCTTCTCAAGTAAACACCGGATTTGGAAATTTGTTTGAGAAGACAAAGAAAGGAGGTTGTGATGAGGTCTATGTAAGGTGGTAGGGGACCCGTACTCAGTAAGCGAGGCTGAACCACCGGAGTCTTCCAACTTATCCCAAGCTTCCTTATATTTGACATCCAACTTTGTTGTCTTCATCGAACGAACTACAGGAATTCACTGTTACTGAAGTAACCTTCTGTGCAACTTTCAAAGAAGCCTAGAGATCGCGAAGAGGCCTCCATACTTTACAATCCCAGGACGCCGTCGATGCTCTGCCAAACCATTAGTCCTAGCACGGAGCATGACCACCGCCGGTGCTTTGCGTTGGTGAGCCGCTTGTTAGGCATTTGGAAGGTTCAAAGAATAACAGCTGAATCTAAGTCATTCCCACTCGGAGCAAGCAACCTCTACCATACATGCATAAAATTGACAAGAAGGACTACTTCACACTAAAACAATGAGAGATCGATATATCAACTCTCAGACATCCCGATTATGAACTGATCTAGGTCATACAAAACTCAAGAATACAGTGAGACAAAGAAAGATAAATGACACAGGAACAGGCGCAAAAGCATTACAAAGGTCACTCTAAGATGTCACTGCGGCGGTTCAGTTCGGTTCGCTAACCCAGGTATAAGGCAAATGAAAATGCTCCCTCTCTATCATTATAACCAAAAGAGTAAACACCCTTTAGATGCCGAGGGTGAACTCAACACCGACATCGATATCGCGGGCCATCTTCACGACCTTGGAGAACTGAACGGACTTCTCAGCGGCGTTCTGGAGGTCCTCGATGGAGAAGATCTTAAGGCCGGACTCGTTGATCTGGAAAGTAGGAAGTTGGGTTAGTTTACATTCTGGCAAGGAACGGAAAAAATAGGAGCTGCAATCATACCAGCTTGTGGGCCTGCTCCATGTTGGTACCCTGCAGACGAGCGATGATAGGAGTGCGCAGGTTCATCTCCTGGACAACGTTGATCAAACCCTGGGCAATGGCGTCACAGCGGACGATACCACCGAAGATGTTAACGAAGACGGCAGAGACCTTGGGGTCACTGGTGATCAGCTCGAAGGCGCTCTTGATGGCAGCAGGGGTGGCACCACCGCCAACATCGAGGAAGTTGGCGGGGCTACCGCCGTTGAGCTTGATGATATCCATAGTGGCCATAGCGAGACCGGCACCGTTGACTAAAAGCGACAATTAGCATTGTGGTATTTTGTGGTATCACAAGGTCTCTTACCAAGGCAGCCGATGTCACCATCGAGCTTGATGAAGTTGAGACCGTGCCTAGAAAAGATTAAAAGTCAGTCAACGTTGCTTTATCTCTTCATTTTTTTTTTTCAGCAAGGCAAACCTACTCAGCGGCCTTGACCTCATCGGCATCCTCCTGGGAAACATCGCGCCACGAGAAAGCCTCCTTCTGACGGAATTCGGCGTTGTCATCGAATCCAAGCTTAGCGTCCATAGCCAAAACCTGGTGGTCGGAGGTCTCAGAGAGGGGGTTGATCTCGAGCTGGGTAACATCGCGCTCCATGAAGCACTTGTAGAGGTTCTGGATGGTGGTCTTGGCCTCCTCGATGCACTGCTCGGAGAAACCAAGGTCGGTGGCGATGGTGCGGGCAATCTCGTCAGTCACACCGACGTGGATATCAATGGGGGTAGTAATGATGGCATCGGGGCTCTCCTTAGCGACAGCCTCGATATCCATACCACCCTGGGAGGATGAGACAATGACAGGGCCACGGGTGGTACGGTCAAGGAGGACAGCAAGGTAGAATTCACGGCGAGCAAACTTGCGCTCGCAAATGTAGACCGAGTTACAGATACGGCCGCCAGCGCCAGTCTGCTTGGTAACGAGCTTGTGACCGATCATCTGGCCAGCAAACATCTTGGCCTCGGTGGGACTGCAAAGATATCTGTGAGCTATATTGTTCCCGATCTGTTCTCGGAATTGTTCAACTCACGAGTAGATCACACGGACACCACCCTTGAGGCCATTGTCGAATTGACCCTTACCACGGCCACCAGCGAGAACCTGGGCCTTGATAACAAGATCACCACCACCTGTAATGTAATGTTCAGCAAGCGCGTTCAAAGGGGGAAAAACAGTTGGTTGTTCTTACCGATGGACTTGGCAATAGCCTCGGCCTCTTCAGCAGTGTTGGCGACCTCACCCTTTGGGACACCGACACCGTACTAAATTATTGATCAGCGATCTCGAGTCCCTTTTTTTCGAGCGACCGAAGGGGCAACGCGGGTACACGTACTGTCTTAAGGAGTCTTGCGGAGAGGTACTCGTGGATGGAAAGGTTGCGCTTCTGCAAAGCGAGTCTGCTCTGGATGGAGGGTTGCTATTGTTTATCAAAGTCAGCTCAATCACATAAAACTTGGAACGAGCGCGGCCCGAAACCAGATATAACTCACTGTCGCAGCCTTGAAAGCCGCCACAACGGGTCTACCGCGAGCAAGCTTGAACATGATGAATTCGGAGAGGGGAGAGGGGGATTTGTAGAAGGGCGGAGGTATGAAGCCCGTTTTGATAGTTGGTAAGGGACCAGGAGAACAGCTTTCTTTTTCACTTACGTTCGGGATGACCTTGCGTTGCGGTAAATCGGGTACCGTAGCCAACCAGCGATCGTTCCCGTCCTGACTCAGCATTGGACCGGGGACAACGCGAATATCACGGAACATATGGCTATTAAAGTCGGTACTTTTCTACTTCGCTTTGGATATTGTATAGATTGGGGGTCCTTTGCTTCATTTTTGTTTATTTTGATATATTTCAAGGTGGAAATTTACCTCTGACCTATATCACTATATTATATTGACTAAACTCACAATTCACCATGATAACCCCCCTATTTGCGCGCACTTTTGATCTTCCATAGTTTGAACATGTTAGTCATGAGCCGACCAAACAGACCCGACCAAGCCCAGCCACCCGACAATGTCCAGATCAACCAGCTAGCATGACCCTCCCAGATCCAAGCCTTGCGACCACGAGCCCACGGCCACAACCAGCGCCACGGAGCTGAGCCATACAACACTTGAGAAACGACACTGCGAGCATATGTTTCATTCGGCATAGCGTTATGCTGGCTATGCTTCACACGCTTCAGATACTCGGCCTCAATAGGGGAATACAAAGAACCTGGCTTCAGGGCACGGTCGGTACGCGCAATACGAGATTGAACACCGCCGGTAACGATAGTTGTGACATGGACGCTGTTGATCCTCGTCAGAAAAATACAATAAAACAATTTTGGAATTTGGGGGCCATATCCCACGAACCCGAATGGAGCCAGCTCCACGCGAAGCGTATCACTGAACGAGTGCAGCGCTGCTTTGGAGGCGTTGTAAACAGAACCAAATACGTATGGGATAATCTAGTGATTGTCAGTAAGATATAATCTACAAAGATGGAGGTATCTCAAACTTACACCAGCGATGGATCCAATCTGTACAATAGTACCCTTGGCCTTGATAAGCAAGGGTAGGAAAGTCTGGCACATAGTAATGACCGCGAAAAAGTTGGTCTCGAATGTTTGGCGAACCTCGCTGAGCTCTACTTCCATCGCTGGGACGGTGTAATCTGCAGTAATCAGTACATACATCATTTATTGACGCAAGAAGCCGCGAGAGTGAAATCACATACTCCGACCACTGTTGGATATTAGCCAGATGTACCACCCGCGAATAAAGGGTCAGAAGAAACTCACGCGTTGTTGACGAGATAATCGAGACCCCTGTCTCCGAGTCTCTGTTCGACATCCGCGAAACACGCTTTCACATTCTCTGGGTCATCAACCGTAAGACTCAAGGTTTCAATACCAAGGTCTGCCAGATCAGAGATGGTGGCCGCATCGCGAGCGGTAGCCAGCACGCGCAGTCCCTTTCGGTTGAACTCGCGCGCAAGGGAGTTGCCGATTCCGCCTGGAGAACATCTACGACACATATATCAGAAGCTGTTGTTGGTATCTGTCGTAACTCGCCAATAAGCTTACCCCGTGATGAGCACCGATCGGCGGGTATCTGTTGCCTCCGGCATGTTTAGATCTGAGGGATGGCTATACGATATAGGAAAACAGCTGGCTACGGCATGTACATCTGGTAAGAAAGTGGAGACCGGGCGGGTACAACTTACCTCGGTTCACCCCATCTCACAGGTGGAGCATCGAGCCCTAAGCCCTACTACCTGTTTTGTCTTTATAGTATAGATGGTGGCTTGCGGATATAGAAGGAGGCTGGGCTACAGACTACATATACATGTACTTAAGAAGTCCACGTAGAGTCAATGAGTCGGAAAATGGGTCAGATTAAAATCTACTCCACCTCTTTACACCCGTATCTCGAACATATCTTCGAGAATCCACATACCGGGTGGTCTACCCTCTTCATCTCTCAAAGCAAACCCCACAGTTGGGCTGGGTTCTCTCCACTTGTCTGTCGCTTGTATTATCGCTTACTTGAACATCACTTTTCGGGGCTGTTCATGGTGTTCAGGTTTACAAGAAGGACGAACTGAAACTACCCATTTGGAAGCGTTCCCGCGGCAAGTTGAAATGCTGAAGTGCTCGACACCACCAGACGAATTATATCAATCAGTTTCCACTCGATCTCCCATACTTCAGTTGCTGTGTTGGGCTTGGCTCAACATGGTCGTATCTACCCGCATGTAGTTAATGTTACATAACCCTTTCTTCGGTCTTATACAAGGGACAAAAGCCGATCTATTCCTTGAAATACACGACGTCCGGCAATGAAGTCGATCGAAAACAAGAATGTCGTTCAAATGTAGTTACTCCCCATACATTGGCAATTTAACTTAAAGTAACCCGTTTCGTGGCGCCGGATGCGTGCCGATTCCCGAGGGCGAGCTCATCAAATGGCAAGGTCCCGTCCGTGCCGGAGAACCAGTATATGAGACTTAAGGGAGTGCCGATGAAATTGAACGACATTGATGCCATCGCTGCACCAAATCCCTCGCCCATATACAACGTTGTATGTAATAGAAGGTCAATAGTTCGTTCGCCATTGCCACTGGTAGATTCTTGCCATCGGTCCCCACATTTATTTACGTCGGTCTTCAAATCCGAACGACCCGTCTATCCTACTTGACAAAGATCTTCAAGCGCTAATAATCGAAAGACTTCAACAGAAATCCGTGCTGTCATACTTATTGGCCTGTCTGAGAGATAATCTCCACTACCGCCCATGCTATCATCCGCAGGCAGGCATCACAATCAAACCCCGAACGGAAGGAGGGGAAGTTCAAGCTAGCCACGCTTGTATTCGGCTTTTTGTGCACTTGTTGAGTCAAATAGCACTAGCCAGTGATGACTAACGAACCTGATCTACCCCGGCATATGCGAAGTCCCGGTGAAGATGGGTACCGAACACCAACGATAGAGGATGCCGAGCGGGCGCTTTCAATCCTGGGAGCCGTTGAAGATACCCCCAGTAGCGGAGTTCGCGAGGCTCATTCGTCTGCTTTAGAGGCTGCACTGCAGCGAGCCTCGTCGCGGGCTACTGTAAAGACAACCCCGGAAAAGGAAGCCAGTGTGTATCAAGAGCATAACGGGCTGGGTCTGTTTGGGCTTAAGCGCACGGCTTCGGGGAAGCTGAGCTGGAAGGAGCGCATTCGCCATGTTACCTGGGCATATTTCACGCTGACGATGGCTACGGGCGGGCTGGCCAATGTCTTATATCAAGGTGAGCATGATCGACTTCAGCCTGTCCGGTTGAACATTTCTAACAACTGCCAGTTCCATTTCGCTTCAAGGGCTTGGATACGATTGGCATCGTTGTCTTCCTGATCAATATCGCTTTATATATGATCATTTGGACTCTGCTGCTTGTCCGGTTCTATTATTATCCGTACACGTTCAAGGCGTCGTTCATGCATCCAACAGAGTCGCTCTTCGTGCCCGCATCTATAGTATCTTTCGGCACGATCCTGATCAACATTTCGCAGTACGGTCCCGAAAACACGGGCCCGTGGTTAATGCGCGCAGTCTGCGTTCTATTCTGGATCGATGCCACTCTCGCCGTGATGTTCACGGCGGGGATCTACCTCCTCCTTTGGTCGACGCAGACATTTACCATCGCGCAGATGACGCCTATCTGGATTTTCCCTGCTTATCCGATGCTCATCATTGGCCCGCATGCCGGGATCCTCAGTGCGAAGCTGGAACCGTCCCAGTCTCTGTCGGTCATTATTGGCGGTACGACTATCCAGGGAGTTGGTTTTTTGGTTTCATTGATGGTGTACTCGGCCTTCATCTACCGGTTGATGACACAGAAGCTGCCGAAGGAAAGTCTCCGTCCTGGTATGTTTGTTTCTATAGGACCGAGCGGGTTCACGGTTGCCGGGTTGGTGAACATGGCAGCGGGGGCAAAGAGGTCGTTTCCAGCCGATTTTATGGGTAATGGGCCGCTGGCTGCCGATGTGTTGAAGATTGTTACCAATTTTTCGTGTCTTTGGCTTTGGGGGTATGTTCGACTTCTTGCTTGTCTCTGTGTATTTGTCTAACACTTCTCTAGGTTGGCCATATTCTTCTTCATTATTGCAAGTGGAGCCCATTGGTCGGCGATTGGGCATGGGCGTATGGTCTTCTCAATGACCTGGTTCTCATTTGTCTTCCCAAACACTGCCTTGATCACTGCTACTTTTGCTATAGGCAAGGCTTTCTCCTGTAAGCCTATTGAGATTGTGGGGTGTGCGGCGATTCTCCCATTGCTGATGATGTACTTTTTTGTCTGCTACATGATGGTTCGGGCTATTTTGGCACGGCAGATCCTATGGCCTCAGAAAGGCGAGGATAGAGACGAGGGTGGGTTTGAAATTCATCGGGTTAAGCCAGTGGCTGCAGGTGGGATTTTAGGGCATACATAGATGCAGGATATATATTCGAAAATATATATCTCAAAGAGTGTATTGTAAAAAGCAGTCTTCAACATCGAGAATGTACAAAGAATTTGTTGTTGTTTAATAGCACAGTCCAAAGCGTAAGTAACTTCACTCTCGCTATAGCAAAGGTAAAAATAGAGAGAGGTTATGAACAAAGTACGAAAGACAAACAAACGGAGAGATCATCCCGAGCAAAAAAAAGGAAAAGCAAAAAAGAATGGACCCGCCGGGAATTGAACCCGGGACCCCCCGCAAGTCACTGTAGTGCGAAGCGGGTATTATACCCCTAAACCACAGGCCCATTTGATGAAAGATGAGGCTTTTACTTGGTATCTAGCAGAAGCAAAAATAACATGCAAACAATATACGAGGCGATCCAAAAGTCACAAAGTGACCTCAGAAACAGGTTGATACATCTAAGAAAGAGCGGTTTGAGTAATCTCACCCATCGACCCTGCATCTTAAGCCTCGAGGGAATTCAGATTCGGCCGTTCCCTATTCTCTGACCTTTAATACACCATTAGACCAAGGTAGAAATCATCTCCAGGAAGGAGCGATGTCCCCAGCCGTGAGTATAACCCCCCCCCTCGTTTTCTTCTCTTCTTTCTCCTCGTCCTCATCCTGCTTAAACTCGTATACTACTAACTTGACATGAAACAACTGCCCCTTGATAAGCCAATGCACGCCGCGCAACTTCAGCGTAGATCCATGAAAGTCCTAGACCAAGCTCTCACGGTGTACTGCAGGACGACCCAGTGGACCTCGATTTATGGATGGATAGCGTATTTCTTGCGACCAGATTTCATCTAACCTCGACCGATGTAGTCAATCTGCAAAACGACAACTGAAACGCCAACTCTTCCACGGAAAATAAGACGCAGAGCCCACGGTCTGTTGCATGAGATATTGAATCGATTCACGGGGTGGTATTGTCGAGCCACCAAAATACCTGTTTCGATAGTCTATCATACGGGGGGTATCTTTCTCGAAGTGAGTAGACATGAGAAAATCCCATGATAGAAGGGTAGCAGGAATGGATTTTTGCCCGCAATGTAAATGATTCCACCCAACACAGTTACCCTTTGACAATGAGATGTAAAGCTGTACACAAAGGACTACACAGCCAAATGCCGTACTTTTCATCCATTGTGCTTTTCAAGAATTTCTACGAAACTAGGCTCTTTACCCCAGTATCATTCCCTCCAGAGTCTACAAAGTCAGAAGTTTGAAGAAATTAAACAATAAAATTGTACAAAAATCAGTCAGGGTATCGAATTAATATGTAAAAGAAAGGCGCAGATCCTGCCTGCCGCCTTAAGCACCCTCCATCACGGCATCCTTGGCCGTGACTAGAGGAGAACTGCCGATGGAAGCACCCGAGCTTCCGCCGGAGTTGCTCCTCCGCTTCATCTTCCCCTTCTTGGGAGACTTTGAGCCTCGACCACGGCGGTGGTGGTCAACCGCACCGCCGGACAACTTGCGACCACGACCGGGCTCCCGCGCCGGCATGTTGAGAATGATCCGGGCGCAGCCCCCGACTCCCCCCACGGATGTTGGAATCTGTGGAACTGGGGGAGGCCCAAGGGACTGACACCCCGGCGCGGGGTTCCCGCGCGCGTCAAACTGGTGCTCTTCCGACGGGAGGCACCCACAGACGGGGAGTCCTCGCGGGAGGCCGCAGGGAGGGTCGTGGCGGCAGTGGTGGTCTTTGGGGTCTTCACGCCCCTGCGGGCCTGGCGCCGTGGTGTGGCAGGGCGGGGAGTGGCGGGCGCCGGGGTCGACTCCTTGGGCTTGCGCGAGCGCAGCTGGCGCCCCTTTTCGGGGACGAGGATGTCGAGACCCCCATCCTGGGCGCTCTGCTCTCGTCGCTGGCGGTTCAACTCCGCCGGGCGGCAGCTCAGAGTCTGACGGTCACCGGGGATTATGAGCTTCGACAGCTCCTCGGTGGCTACCGCCCAGCTCACTTCTGGCACAGGGGAGGCGATGGCAGCATTGAGGTCCTCGGTGGACTTCCGCTCTCTCCCCGGGGCAATGACCTTTGCGGCAAAGGACTTAGTGGCTGTCAGGTAGGTGGCGGCACTCTTCTTGCGCCCTTTGCTAGGCGTTGGAGCCATTATGGCATCCAATTCTTTCAGCTGATTGTGAGACCACCACTCATTCTTGTACTCTGAGGTTTCATTGAGACCTGAGAGATGACTGAGCACACTAGAGGACAACGCGCGGTCACTGTAGCCGCCCTCGAGGACGCTGATGACGCGCCCTTCCACACCGAGGCCCTCCTCTTGTGACATGCGGATGACATCCGCAGTGAACTTGGCATAGAATTCAGTTGGCACCTTCACGCTGTGGCGTTGCATGCCATTCCCTTCCCATTCGCTGGCATCAAACCCAGCAGAGATAAAGATTGCCGCCTTGGGCAGTGGGGAATTCGGATTCTCTTGTCGTTCTTGGTTGAGTTCCATTGTACGCCCCCGAAGAAACGAGCGGGCTTTGGTGAGCAATGTATTGTATTTTGTCTGGTATAATTCCCAGAACTCATCAAGGTCGGCCCACTGATCAAGATGAACATTCCATATGGATTGATTGTGTGCTTCGACACAGAGGCTTGCACCCATGACTTTGTCGCGCTCCCCATTCTCGCAAGGGAAAGAGTTCACATCGTGCAAGCTGTAGTAGCCAATTGCCGCTTTGGTGTACGGAGGAGCATCTTCATATTCCTTGAATTTCATGGCATCAACTTTGGCCAAGTTGGCCTTTTGTGCTCTGTTGAGTAATCTGGTGTTGTGATCGTATGTAATGTCCTGAGACCCATCGCCGTGGTGAAGATCAAAGTCTAGGATTGCAGCGTGAGTCAGACCGTGGACTGTCGCTGCGTGGGAAATTCCGACATGAACGTTGTTAATCCAGCAAAAGCCGGAAGGGAAGTCAGCTGAACAATGATGACCGGGAGGTCGAATGCAGACAAATGCGCGCTGAATCGAACCAGAGTTGAAAACAAGATCCACCCCCTCACAGACGCCCCCCAGGGCTCCTTGAAATGCGTTGACAGACTCTGAGCATAGGTAGAGGTCGTTGGTATTTAGAGCGGGACCAGTTGTCCCAAGCCCATCGTGTTCCTCCGTCCGTTGCCTGGCAAGTTCATTACCATCCAAGATGAGGCGTGACTCTGCAAGGTCCCCCATCCACTTCAATTCTGACATCCATTGGGTTCCATGGACATCCGTAACGGCAGTATCAGACAAATGTACCTTGCGATCAGTCTTGATGATTTGAAAAGGAACATTGATCTTATCCAAGTTCAAACTTGGGGTTGGCGTGAGGCCTTCCGCATACCGAGAGCCAAGGAGGACATATGCTGCAGAGATGCCTACAGCGCAGGCGCGGATGCGCTCTGGTCTTTCAACAATTCTCTCGATAGTCCGTTTTGGAGCTTCAAGCTGGGAGTAGCGATGGCCGTAACAGTCGTCATGGAGAATAACAGCAGTTTGAGTATTGACATCACCAGATTGGTGAAATTCAAGCTCTTTTGAGAAGTGCTCAGCGGCGACAGACGAAGCAGTGGGAATTGGAACTTCCGGAGCTGGGCTGAAGACAAGGCGGGCGGGATGCATCGCGGGTGATGTTGCGCTGGTCAGCGACCCAGCAGATGTGAGTGAGGTGCGACGTGAAGGATCAGTAGCTGGAGATGAAGGTTTGAGCGGTTGTGAGGTCGACCGAAGAGATGCAGCGGACTTGCGCTTTTGTAGTGGTGTAATTGACTTGCGCTGTTCGTCTCGAACAGAAACAGAACCGGCTGCTTGGGATGAGACAGATTGAACGGATTGAACAGGCTGATTTGATTGTAAAGTGACAGATTGAACAGGTTGGTTGGGCTGTAGAGGAATAACAGGTACAGGTCGAGTAGTTTGAACATATTTAGGGGGAAGATAGGATGGAATAGCAGAAAGACGAGGTGATGGAGGCAATGGGGTCGCTGTCGCCAGAGTCAGGCGATCCAGAGAATCGACCAAATCACAATGCGCTTCATCGATATTGTTGTTATTGACTCCATTGTCCCCGAATAGTGGCGGGTCCTCCTGAGTGGAGGGTAGCTTGTATGGATTCATGTTGCCGATGTCGACTCTGCCACAAAGGGTTTGCAACACAAGATGTCTCTTCTCATTCAATACGGCGTCAGAGTCGAAAGATGATAGGTCGAGGTTGGATGAATAGGCAAGGGGAAACAAAAGAAACAAAGAGACAAAGAATGGTGGGGTCTCACATGTTTGGGTTAAGCCCCATTGGGTAAGGGTTCGGCCGATCTCCATAGCATAGAACAACGACATACCACATCGATATCTTTCTTACATTATGTTGGAATTGTTGATCATTCTATTGTTGATTGAATCTCTTTGGACTTGATTCTTATTGTCTAATTGTGACACATTCAATGATCTTGTATCTTCTTCATGAATGGCTTTTGTAACAATCCACAATCATGCTTCATGCTCTCTCTATAAACACTCATCTCTAAAAAAAAAGACTAGAAAAGTAAGGGTTCGATGAAGAAAAGAATAGAACCCCATGCAGATCATCTAGATCATTGCATCCATGTGATAGAACACCGTAAAGCCGCAGAAATCCATGTGCCAAACCGAGATTCGAAGTCCGCCAACACCGAAGTTGTAAAAAAATAGACAGAGAAGAAAGAAAAGAGAAAACGTCAAGTGGAAATGTAGTCACTAACGTGACCGCAGACCTCGCCATTGATACCACTGATACCAACGGCGCCCGAAAGAATCCTTCTCATCCAGGGAATCCTGAGATCGGCGGCGCAACTTATTCTCCTTCTTGCGAGTCTCCTTCTCGGACTTGAAGCCACGCGTAGCGTGTGAGTTGCAGAAGCAATGCATGTGCACGGTCTCGACGCTGATTCCCGGGCAGCCGTTCCGGCGGTGTGCGGCGCAGACGCTGTTGCCAGCATCTTCTTCGCATTGGCACCATTCGTAGAGTGTGAAATATTGGCGACACATGGTTGATGCTGTTGGAGGTTTTTCAAATTGAAGTTGACTGTTGACTTTGCCGGGGGTCCCGCAGGTACCCACGATACGTTTTTGATAGTCGATGGTTGATTAAAAGTATGGATTTGTGGTTTCGGGTCCCGTAAGACGGAAATTGGTGATATACTGGCAAAGAAAATGAGGATGTCAAATGCCCAATATGTAAATGGTTCTGGTTTCTGGCGTTGGAACAATCCTGATTTGGAAGACCACGGAAAGAGTATGCTTTGTGCCCGGTGGTGTCGAGATGTCCAGAGCTTTGAAGGTGTTCAGACCAGCTGAAATGGAATATGATCGATAATTAAAGATGTTAGGGATCGACAAGAAAAAAAAAGGCACGAAGCTATGGGGCAGATAATAAGCTCTTTAAGTTATCGTAGGCTAATGTAATGATGAGTGAATAGTCATTGACCGGTCTATGAATGGAACCACAGCTATTGATTGGAGCTGACGTCAAAGAACCCTTTCTCATTGATTATGACAGTATATAATAAATATATTATTGGGCTTATAATAATATTAGTATCATTGGGTTTATACTTTGCCTAGATTTTTCTCCTTCTGAAAACTACACGTTACATCTGACAACTAGAGGTCGTATTCTCGCGCCTTGGTATTCTTTTGCTGGACAGGTCCAATAGCTATGCACTCTGTACTCCGTCTTAATTCATATTCTAGGCAGCAAACTTGGCAAGCGCCCTGATGGAGACAGGGTTGGAGACAGGGGGTCGCGAAGTGAGGTAATGAAAATGGGATTGGTCTTGGGCAGAAGAAAGTGTGACCAGAAAAAGGACAGAAAGGTGGCTATTGTTCTGTTTCAACCGGTTCAACAAAGACCAGAAATAAACTCATACAGCATTAAAAATAGAGATCGAGATCCTGCATCAAAGGAGTTTGAAACTCAACCGGCGACAAATCTGATCGACAAGCCCGGCCGAAAGCCAGTCAGTCCTGACAGGTTGAGACGAACTAGGATCCGCTCATACCCGGCGCTCCGCAGGGGTCTGTTTTCCGAGCATGCGATTGGGGCAGAGGTCTGTTTGGCTTGCCGCCAGGATCCCGGGATTACCTTACCTGCCGGTGTCTGTATCGTTTAGCGCCGAGGGAAAAAAAGTAATATAGAGTTTGGATGTCAATGGAACATTCTTCAATAAATCGAGATAGATGATTTCACCATCTTCAAAGATGCAAACGGAAAAACAAAACGGATTAAACGATGAGGCGCAGGATATGTGGCGGTGCACTGAAGTCACGTGTAACGAGGTCTTCCTCGAAATTGGTGCCTAAGGCTCCCATAGGAAGTCTACCTTGTATCCATAGCTCGGGTTTGATTTGCCTCAATTCAATTAACTGAACACATCATTGCAATTCGTAACGGAGATTCTACCAAATCACAAAGCTACCGATAAGAAACCCTCAAAACAAGTACACCACCCCAAACCAACCGAGCAACACCAAAAATCGCAAGCAACCAACAACAAATAACCCCCACCCAAACTGCAATGACAACCAACACATCACCCGAACCCCCAACAATGACCCCAGCAACACCAGCGCGTGCCGCCACACTCCTCTCAAACCTAACGGCCGTGGCGCGCGAGTGAGCACAGCCGCCCTCCAATCCCCAACCCCCAGCAAACCAATTCGACTCGTAGCTGTCTCCAAGCTCAAGCCTGCAGCCGACGCACTGGCCTTACACCAAGCCCCGGGATCGCAACACCACTTCGGCGAGAATTACCTGCAAGAACTACTCGAGAAATCGCGGCTGCTGCCCGCAAGCATTAAATGGCACTTCATCGGCGGACTGCAAAGCAACAAGTGCGTGACGCTTGCGCGGGATGTGCGCGGGCTGTGGGCTGTCGAGAGTGTCGACTCAGAGAAAAAGGCAAAGTTACTGGATAAGGGATGGGGTGAGAGAGGGCCTGAGCTGGCTGCTACGAACCACGATGAGGACGGGAGACTGCGTATCTATGTTCAGGTTAATACGTCTGGCGAGGCAAATAAGGCTGGTGTTGAGCCTTCTGGAGCGACGGCGCTTTGCCGATATGTTCGTGAGCAGTGTCCCCGACTTAAGTTGCAGGGTTTCATGACTATCGGGGCTATTGCAAGATCGCGGGCGACGACTGTGGAGAATGAGAATGAGGATTTCGTTTGTTTGAGAGAGACGAGGGATCGGGTTATCAAGGAGCTTGGATTGGTTGGAGATGACGCTGAGTTGGAGCTTAGTATGGGTATGAGCTCAGATTTCGAGGGGGCGATTGCTCTTGGAAGCGATCAAGTTAGGGTTGGAACCACGATCTTCGGGGATCGGCCGCCTAAGGCGGAGGCAAGTGTCGTTTGAGTTTGAGGGTTGAGGCGGTTATGAGTTACGATTTCTTTTTGCCTGGAGGTGATGATTAGATTTCCAAAAGTTGTTGGGCTTCTGGTGGGATTATATAACAGCTGCGACCAAATCATTAGATGTATCGTATGTATAGCACCTCTATTTGTTGCTTTACTAGGAAGGATTTGTACAAAGAGAGATGCGATGTTCCCCTAGGAACTCTTGTGAATATTTGACTTGGTAATCCAATTAGAGATATACATGAATGCTTCCATATCACCTGCAGACGCCCTAATCGAAGGCTTCATCTGCTCTCACGCCCTGCGCCAACTTCAACTCCATCTGTCTGGCTAGTGCTTGCGGAACCTCTTCTTGGGTGGCACGAATAGTTACGCGATACATCTGAATAAAAAAATTAGCATGAAGAGATCAGAATACTTGGGAAGTTTGAATATATACCTTCTTCTCGTAATTGGGCTCCAGCCGCAGCAGGCAGCCCGTCTTACCTCCTTCAAATTGGTAGACTGCGCAGCCAACAATATTTTGAGAGTTTGGATCGACACCATCCAAAATCTTGAAAGCGAATCCTTCGACAATTCTGCGAGTGAAACGCTCATTGATGACCTTGTTCTTACCCAGCAAGCCAAAGGTCTTCTGGGATTCCAGCGGGCCACCGCCAATTTGACGCCATCGCTTGAAGAATTCCTCGGCTGACAGAGACGATGATTCCATGTAGCGGTGCATCAGGACAGGTAGTTGGAGTGTGTAGGCCTGGAGAGCACCGGCCAAGTATGAGATGCGGATGGTAGGCGCATCCGTGAAGGGACCGTGGGCGGTGCAGAACAGAGTCTGTTGTGTCTGCCCAGCAGCCGGGATTGTTGGTTCGGGCAGGTTCTTCGTGTCGATCTTCAATTGAGGAGAAGCCGGGTTGTCGACGGTGGTGGTAAGAGACCCGATGGGGTATGTGGACTTGTTCGAGATGTAGAGCTTCAGGACACCCATAGGACCGCGGTATTCCGAGCGCAGTCCGACCTGAATCTGTGCATCTTCGAAAAGTACACCCTCGCGCGAGAAGAACAGTCTGTTGTAACCGATGTCCCATTCTGGGGTCAGATGAGCGGCGCTGGCCATATTCGGGGCTGGGGCTGATGGACCGCTGAGATCCAGGCCTGCCAAGTCGCCCGACGCACTGGCCGCATTGGAGGTGCTTGCTGGGCTGGCTGGAGTATTGCCGGATCCAGTGCGCGTGCCATGGACGATTGTCGTGAAGGTGCGCTTGAGACCAGTGTTCTGTGCCAAGAGCATTTCCTGTTTGTCCGCATTCGCATCCTTACCACCAATGACCCAGGTCTTCTTCTCACTCGCGCCGGCGGTCTTCTGGTGTAGCCGTGAAAGTAGAATGGAGGTTCGCTCCGAGAATGGCGGCATCTCATCACAGACCGTTCGCAGCAAATCGTCGGTCGGGAGAGTCGCCAGCGACAGGTACTCAAAAGCTCGCTGCTGCAGTTCGGAATCGGGAGAATGGCTGTATAGGCGGAATATTTGCAAAAGCTGAGGTTTAATTTCGGGGAACAAATTCACGAACTTGACAAACGACGAGAGGATCATGGCCCGTGCGATGTCGGAACTGGAGAACATCTTGGCTTGCAGGGCCAGGAATTGCTCAATGGGGCTCGAGCCTGCGTTCTCGGCGATGAGGTGGCCGTACTCGCCCAAGACGTAGCAACCGATTTTCACTAAACTTTCGTGGCAGTCAGACTTCAAGTAGCCCAGCAGGGTGTGTGCTGCATAAGCTTGTAGTTCTTCGTTGTTAGTCACGATCTGAATCACTCGCTGCCATACTTCGTCGTTGACGTGTTCGCCGGCCAGTGAGAGCAGTTTCAAAGTCATATCAATGTACCACTGTGCATCGGCCGCGTATTTCTCGGTAAGAATGGCGACTTTGAGTACCATTTCCTCTCGAATGGCATAGTCGGCAGTCTGTAGGTATCGCAGAAGCTCGTTTACAATCGGGCCGGCATTGCTGGTATCGCACATACTGTACAGCAGGTCCAACCCTTTGCGACGAACACTGATGTCGCGGTCTCGAAGCGAGCCCAGGATAATGTTCTGGTGCTTCTTAATCGGGTCAAGGGTTTCGGCTCGAGCGGCAAAATGGGTCAGCGCATCTAGACCAAGGTATCGAACGTTGGTCTCCCGAGACTGAATGTATTTGCCTAGGCGAGTGGAAATTTGCAGCATGAGATTGTGCTCAGAGTCGAGGTGAATAAGGAGGTTGATGGCTTCAAAGAGGATGGCGTTTTGGGCATTGTTCTGCTGGACGTTCTTGGGTGTTTCCATTGCAGTTTGCATCATCTGGGAGAGAGACTCTCGAATAATTTCGCGAACATGGCTGTCCTCTGTAATTGTATATGAGAAACCGAGTCACAAGTATCCAAAGGAATAAACATACCTGATGGAGGATAGTACTGCAACAAGCGCAAGAATTTAACCTGGATCCACGGGCATGGAACGCGATAGTAGAGGTAGTCCGGAGCGATATCATTGTCAACCACGATACGCTTCAATCGCTGCGCAGCCTTCACATAACAGCCTTTGTATTCTTCTGGCAAATCTTGAGCTAACGCCATGACCAAAGAGGTGACGGAGAGCGCCACTCCCATATCGGGGTCGTCCATGATCGATATGATTCTTTCGGCCCATTCGTTTCGCACGATGCCGGGGTATTTGCGGTACAATCGAAGTAATGTTAAAGCAGCCTTCTTTTTGACAAAAGCTTTGGAGGTGCTGGAAAATGTCAGAACAATCATGAACAAGACAGTAAACGCTCCAGACTCACGGTGAGATGAGCAGCCTGTGAACCTCCGAGCCCAGCGCTTCTCCGAGCTCTCTACCACCGACATTAGCCACAGCATGCAGGGCCAAGCAGTTATTCAATTCATGATGATCGAGCAGATCCTTCCGAATACTGTTGACAACCAAGTGAAGCAGTTCATGCTCTTCATGCAAGAACAACGTGACCGCCAAGTATCCGATCTGCTTTTCAGAGTACTTCGCCGAAGAGATCAAGTTAACAGCCTCGAGATGGCCAAAGTCCACATCATAACCCTGAATGTAGACATAAAGCAATTTGCAAACATATTTCTTCTTTTGGTAACCATTAAGATTGCCAGACTTGAATTTCTGTCGAATATTGGCCAACTCCTTATTCACGCGCTTCTCCTCGAGCTCTCTAGCGCGAGCATTCCGCAGATCAGCAATGAACTGGACCAGTCCTCGCATCGACGACATAGTGGCGGCAGCAGAGTAGCGTTATTTATCAGCCTACAGACGGAAAAGAAAAATCGACGACTATGGTATGGCGGGGTTTTCGCTCGAGGTGCGCCCTCGCATGCCACGCGGGATTATAACCTCAGGGGGTTCGCGATCGGACACACAACGTCACACAACCATGTCCCGGTTATGTTGGCGTATCAATTATAGGGCATTGACCATGCAGTGTATCGTTTGATGGATTTTTGGATTCGTGGAAGCTCTTTGGAAAACAGGGGGTTGGTTGTGGTGTGAGGGAGTTGAATCCTGGGGGAGCTTGTCAGCAGTGGTTGTGGGCCGCAGGCATCCGATCATACAGCGGGGTTTGCAACATACAGAAGAGCGCCCAATTTAGAGACCCTAAGAGAAACAGCCCGAGCAATACACGAAATTGAGATGAGTCCATCCCCGTAACTTTGTCGCTTCGTATTTCATTTGGGTCACTTCCGCTGTCGATCAGCCCGGGTTCCGCTGTGGCGGTATGTGGCAGCGGAAGAATACTGATCCGATGTGGCAGTGCAGAGAGCAAGTATAACCCATATTAGGTCTGGATGAACTATATCGCAACAGACTGATCCCATGGGAAATATAGATAGTAAAAGTACCAGCAAAAGTGTATGGGATACAAAACCCCTTCTCAACATATTACCGTTGATATGCATCTGCCCATTCCAAACAAGCTTTTTAAGGCTCGACACGTTGTACCAAGTCTATTTTAAGAAATATATTCCCATTTCAAATCCACCCAAGTCTATATCGATACCTATCAATGTACGCCGAGCAAATCTGGCCTACGTGTTACTCTGATTTCTTTCTTTGCACTTGAAAGATAATTACTGTAGTGAAAACCGGATAACATTAATGTCTCATTTCATATCGTTCAGTAGTTCCGTAGTTAATGATAAAGCAAGCCCCAAAGCACATATCAACCAGTACAAAGATGCCCAAGCCCAAGACGCCACTATCTCATCGAGGCGGAGATGAGAAAGAAAAATGCAATTATCGATGGCAGCAAAACCCTACCAAAGCAAATATAAAAGTAAACCGAGTCACTTAAGCACTGCCAGTGAAGTCAACCTCGAGGGCGGAATCAATAGCAGCAGCCTTCTCACAGGTGCAGGAAGCTAGTTTCAGAGGTTAGCGGTGAATTCAATACCACAAATCATATTAGACAAGGTACTAAAACTTACCCTCGGGACGGCTGCCACAGGCACAGGCCGCACCAGCGATAGGCTTGTTCTCGGTCACTGAGCGCTCACAGGTGCACTGGCCAGCTGGACGAGCGCCTATTTCAAACACGTTAGTATATATGTTTTGTTTCCAAATGATCAGAATAGTGGGACCACATACGGCATGAGCAGCGGGGACCAGATACGGTGTTCTCGGATGAAGCTTTGCTGCAGCTGCAGTGGAGAGCGCTCTGCTTGCCACAGGAGCACATCGCCTGGGCGGCACAGACGCAGGAGCCGTCTTGGGAGGTCTTGCAGCAGGTGGTAGTGGGGTGGACCATTTTGGCGGGTTGGTTTGATATGACGTAGTTTTTTGAGAATTGAGAGATGATGCTGATGAAGGCGAGGGATTTGCAAGTTCGCAAGATCGAAAATTGGAAGATATCGAAATTGAATTGTTTTTTGAGATGAGCGTGTTGGAGAAAACGAAAATCATACACTGCTTCTGGGATTTCCTTTATACTTATTCTGCATGCGTCAGAAGATGGTGATTATCAATTACTGGGATTTGATTGGTCTAAAGCAACGGTGTCACGTGGTATAGTGCTCTGTTTCGGTGGGCGCTGATTGGCCCATCGCGGAGACAAACAAATCCACGTCTCTTGAGTGGCTGGACAATCTGGCCTGACTGTGGATGTCTTGAGAAAGTAGGGAGGTGATTACTTTTGTTTCGATTCTGATTCGATGGCTAGGAACTGGATGACCAGGGCTACCTACCCAGGTATGTCGTTGATTGTGTTCGGGGAATTTGCATGACGCAAGGGAACTACTGTTTGGTTGCACCGGGAGCTTTGACATGGATGAGTCGAAGTCTGCTATTAGCATGGAGTGAAGAATCAGATATCATATGCTTATAGTGCTATGGAAAATGGAATTAAAGAAATGTCAAGGACAACTTGTTTATCATTTGGTGCCAGTGAATTGTAGACTTGATGGTCTGTCTGCTTCTAAACACAGTAGCATCTCTATACCATTTCAACCTTGGACCCCGAGGCTATGCAGCGAAATCAGAAAGAATTAAGATTAGACAAAGTGCCCCCCCAGATAATGGTCGCTAGATTCCAGACCAGATCAGACCAGGCCAGACCAAAAAAAAAAATCGCGACAAAAATGGGAACATGGTGAAAACAAACGAAGTATGAAAATGCAGGCAAGATAAAAGGGTTACAAAGATAGTTGATAACATAGGACACAAGAAGAAACCCCCCCCCAAGAAAACCCAGATACCAGTGACCAGAAATGATGAACGCTATGACGATGATTAATGATTAATACTCGCTGATATAGATCGCGGATCTTTGGTTAACCCAGCTAACCAGTTAACCAGAAGGTGAGGATGGGAGACGAGATGAAGATGAAGGAGATGTGGAAAGCAAAACAGGGGTATCGTATAGCAGACAAGTGGCAGCCGATTTTTTTTTTAAAGCCCACTGTCTCGAGCTTCCCTTCACTGCTGAATATAGTTGGGGTAGTTGTAAGATGGCTCCGAAGTTGGGAGGCTCAGAGTCGAGGCGTTTGCTTGTGTGTAGGGAATAGGTGTGCCCATTGGAGCTGCAGTAGCATCGTAGGAATATGGCCGATACTCCTGTGCTGCCGAGACTGGCAGGCTCTGCATGGTAGCCATGGGTCGACCTTGGGTTGGTAATTGAGAGCTCATCCCAAGGTTGTAGTTTTGTTGTTGGGGGCCTGTACGAAACCATCTTGTTAGGAAATCGTGTGGAGAATGTCGAGAGAAAGGGAAAATAGACTAACCAAGATTGTTCATATCGTAGGTGATATGTGGACCTTGAGTGTCTGTCGGTGACACCGAGCCTTCGAACGATTGATGTTGATCATAGGGTCCCATACCTGGATGACGGGGTATAGCGTATTCCATGGGTCGTCTCATATATGGTAGACCTGACTGATTTGGCTGCGGCCCCGCGAAGCGATTGTGCATAGGATACCCCGCATATGCCGACGGATGGGCCGATGCATCAGACAAGCTGCTTGATCTGGTGACTGGGTAATCGTTGCGGATGGTTCTATGTAAATCAGACATGGAGGCGGACGCAGCAGGACGGAACATCATGTTGGACTGAGACATGCTGTCATTTCGTCCAGTCGAGGACATGTAGGTTCCTGCTGTCGATGCAGAACTGAGAGGGGAGACAAGATATTCGTCTTCATTTGGTCGGGCGTAGCAATCGGTACGCAGTGTTCTCAAAGATCCAAAATCTGGATTTGGAGCGGCGTAGCCTTGTGGAGACGCCACTGGTGTGACACCTGATTGTTTGCCCTCGAAGGGCGTGCGCAGGACTTTTGTGGTATCGAAATCGTCAGGAAGGGCCCGAGATTTGAGCATTCTTTCCCGATCATTCGTAGTAAGACGCTTGAGCTTTGCTCGCCTGACAGCACATCCCACGTTAGTCCAAGAACAGACGATTCGAACTAGTTGAGCACCCTACCTATTTTGGAACCAGACTTGCACTTGACGTGGGGTCAACCCGGGGATTTCCCTCGACAGACGTTCTCGATGAGCTGCATCGGGATGTGCCTGGCGAGTAAACTCGCTCATCAGAAAGCGTGTTTGGTTATGTGTTAAACTATAGTTTTGTCAGCAACAATGCGCTATACTTCGGGTTCAGGCATTGATACCGAAAACGCTTCATCTTCTTCTTCTCCATGGAGGGTGATCTATTGTCGTCACTGCCGATCATATCCTTATCGTCATCAGGACTGATTGTCGATTCTCTTTCGTGGTCGTCTCTGGAATCATGGCCCGAAAACGATGAAACACCCATCTCTTCAGGATGCCCGTGCCCGACCAGGGGCTGAGCAGATGAAAAACCCCGCTGATTCAGACTCGGGATCTCCAACTTGACACGGGGAAGCATATCCTGTTTCGCCGCCTCCAACCGGTGGTTGACTGTCTCTCGGGAGACATCTCTCCCCAAGTACGGTGCTGAGCCCATGCTGACAGGCTGTGTCACGGGGTTATTCAAGGCGTTCTCAGCCTTATAACCAACCGGCTGCATCTCCACAGGACGGGCGGGAACGTGCACAGGAACAGGAACGCCAGGCTCCTCTTTCTTCTGCACAGATAACCGGGGTGATATAGTTCTGGGCCCTAAAGAGAGTTTCTCGCTGTTTCGGGCTGACAGGTGCGATGAAACTGCAGATAGGGGTGAAGGAACTGGTGAAGATAACGAAGGCAACCAAAGGCAAGGGCCGCCGACTGACATGGTAAGGGTCTAGTTTGGATATGGGTGTGTCTGTGTCTGTGTGTGTATATATTGCCCTTACCCTCGATATTCCAAAGCCAAAGACAAGGTCTTTGAAAAGGAAAAAGAAATCGAGTCCAAAAAGACTTTCAAGAGCAACAATAGGAGAAATTCTAGCCCAAAAAGGAAACGGTAGATTCCCCCGATATGAGACGTTGGTGGGTCTGGAAGTGCCGTGGAAAGGGTAAAAAAGATCAGGGTTTCTGCAATTAAAGGGTGAAGCTTCCAGACTTTCAGAGAAAAATAAGAAAGGAGATTAAAAGCGCCAAAATAAGAGGTGTGTCAGGTGAAGGGGAACCGGTGTGCTTTTTCCTAGAGGAGAAAAGGGAAAAACAAGGCCCAAACGAGGATACGTCAAGCGGGACAACTGTCTCCAGCCTTTTATTCCTTTTTTTTTTTTTTCTCGTTGGATCTGAGATCGGTTCCGATTGATGATCGTTACGCAGCTGGGCAGTAGCTATAAGATGTTAAGAAGCATCTCCACCAGAGTGAAAATGTGGTACCTGGGACACATAATGCCGCTAGACTAGGATCGTCCGGAGATATGTGAGGCAAATACATAGGTGTCTTGATAGCCAAGCGAGGAAACAGTGGGAAATACGATATTAAACGGAATGGCCCCCGGGGGTCCACTACTATGGTCCGATAAAATCCATACTCTATAGGAGTATATGTATATGCATACCGTTTCTATATATGCTTAGGTTAACGACATGAGAAATATCCAATTCCTCCTCACAAAAAGAAGATAGACAGATAGACCATACAATACACTAGCTCAAATCAATTCTCAGCGTGTGGACCGACAGGGTGTGAGACTAACATTGTACATGTATGTAGAAAGTCCACCAGATCATAGACTCAGCGAGTCCACAGATCAGCACCCGATCTATTTACCTGGATGAAGATCCTATACCAAACGGTCCATAGCGGCAGCCGTTGACCTTGGTAAAACCTCAGGTTACATATGGTATAGATGGTATACGATACAGATCGCTAGTATCAGTATCAGAAACTAAAAGGATCGGCTCGGAGAATAAATCGTAGCCTCCGATCCAATGCCTCTATCCGGCCTAAGGCCCTTTTCACCATTAGGCGTCCCTGGGTAGGTGATAGGAGATTTTAAGCAGAATACGGGGTAAGAGAAGAGCTACGGAGTTTGGATACATCTTCGTAACGGCCGAGTCTTCACAAAGTATGGATCTGTGGCGAATCTATTCCGGAGGGTCTAAGCTGAATGGCTGGGAAGGTCAACTCAGCTGGTGAAGGGAATGGGTCCTGCGGGACCCGTCATCCCAGAGAAAAGAAAAGGAAAAATAAAGGAGAGGCAAGGCTCTTACTTTTATATCTCTATTATTTTTATTTTTTTTCCTTCTTTCTTATGAGAGTAGATTGAAGAATATGGAGATGAGTAAACCGAAATTCTTGGGACCGTTACAGACGCATACCAGGCCATGTGGGAGGGACCAGTCGGCTGTGTTAGTGGCTGGGAGATCCATAAGCGGCACCATAAGCCGCTATCAAAGAGAGAGCCACTCAGCGAGCTGCCCGCCACTCCAATGCTTCGGAAAGAAGCGAGGTGGAGAGATTGGAAATGGAAAACATAATTAAAAAAATCTCAAATGCCGAAGTAATATGGAGAGGTATATTACCTGAAACTTCTCCGGTCTATCGGAGTGTATAACCTTTGTAGAGCCTCGTCCGACGGAATTTTCGATAGTTTTGTTCTACAAGCGGGCCCCATGAGAATGGGAATTAAGGGGGTTTTAGCGAAGAGAATTCCATGGCTCGGTAGTTGTCAAACGTCCCCTGGAAATCTCCACCATATGAAACACATCGAGTCGCAGGTGAAATGAAGTAAAACCTTAGGGCTACTGAAGAGCATCGGGTCGGATATCGGATATGTGACAAGACTTAGGGTTGGAACACAGTACATCTACAATCACAACACCACAGTGGGTCCGGAGGAGAAAACTCGGAGCCGTTAGCTTTTCGATCTCGGAGAGGCTCGCGGCCGAAATGACGATCAAGTCGATTTAGAGACCCTGAAAAAACAAGACAATCCCACCGTTGCACCGTATGATGTGTCCTTGTAATCTCCCTGCGGGGAAAGATCGAAACCATTACGGTACTCTCTCATACTTATTACCTGGGTAATATTCTCAATCTAGAAAGATTAAATGGGTGACGCAAGCCGATCTCTTGGCAAGAGTCTTTTTTCTTCTCTGGAATTAATATATATATATATATTATATATATTCCATATGGAGACCGTGTTTCGTACAATATATTATAAACAGTCCGGATCACTTGTCGAACATACAAGTCATGGTCTGAGATATGTATACGTTGTACATGGATGTAGACCTTCCCGGTCTGGAAAGAAATCGAACAATGCGGGTCACAGATAAAACTCGCTTCTGTATATCTGACGTCTCAAGGCATTCCAATCCACTCGGTACAATCTATACTCCGTAGTCCGCAGGAGAATATCGATTATTAGTCCCACTTATGGTCAGTGCATCAGATCGGACCACATGGTTATATACTTTTCCTCTCTGGTGGAGATCAAAGTCCACGCTTGCACCGATAGTGGTTCAGACGGTTGTACTTCCCATGTGGTCTTTTCTTTTCTTTTCTCTTTTTTTTTCAAGTGGGGAGTTATTGTACACTGAGCTCCAGACGATCAGTGCGCGATTTCTTCTTTGGGGGATGATTTGCTTCGCTTGCTCTTCTCGAACCCTATTCTGCTATATTGTATATTGCACTATATCCTCACGAACTACTCCATCGAAAGGATTTGTTTTCTACGAGAGAGAGAGAAAAAAAAAGGGGGGGCCAAACTAAATGAAGGGAAAGAAAAGTGCCCACATCTGCAACTAATGATTCGATGTTTTATGTTTTATCACGTGTACGGAGTACTTCAGGCTTTACTCCATAGTCTGTCTCCTTTTTTTTATTTGTTTTATTGTGTTTCTGATGAAGCCACTTAATCTTACCCTCGTTTCTCACTGATACACAAAATATGCATACATTAAAAAAAAATGGATGGAAAAAAGTGAAACATGGCTGCGACGCCAACGCCACTGAGAAATTAGCGAGTTCCGAAGCACATGGACAGAACGTGTACGGAGTATTCTTTAGCTACTTCATGCAGGAACCCTTTCAAGTCATTTGTATTAGAGTTGCCGATCAGAAGAATCTTGATCTCCACGTTAGCTAATTCATTTGAGGTCTCTTGGGATATGAACTTTCATCGCTTCTACTCCGTACTAGTGGCCCGCTTCCCGTAGAATGCTAGATTCGGTTCAAGTGCCGCGACTGGATTTGGGTTTTTTTTTTGTTTCGATTTAAGCGACATCCCTTTCCGATTCTGCTCCGATGGAGCCGGACTCTGAGGGAGTTTTTCTTGAAAAAGAAAAGGGCTCGTGAAATGACCCCCAATTAGGCCAGATAAAGGTTCAACTGTGCCTGCAGGGCTGACCTGGCACGCTGAGATTCGTATTCGAAAATAAAAAAGAATAATTCGAATGCTGAATCATCCTGTGTCGCGGATAACGCAGGTGCACGGATGTGGTAATCTCGCTCCCCGAACAAGACACTAACGGTGCTGGATGCATGAGATCCTGCAAGTTGCCTGGATAATCTGGATGTGGTCGCGGCGTGATTGCGACAATGCCCATTGGAGGATTTTCTCCGGACAAGAGGGGGTCAAAGCCATTGAGTATCCAACAGAATATCTTCAAGGCACAATCTGGCTTTAGGTGGCAGAGTTCTCTTTCGAGGCGCTAGCGGCGGCAAGTGCCTCTTCATTGTGATCGGTGCTTATGGCTTGTTCTTCGTTGATGACGTCTTTGTTCTCAACTTGCATTTCCTGGTCATCCGTGCTCTGGGGCAAACCCTGTGCACCTCCAGATTTGCCAGCTGGGTCGACTTTGCCCTCAACAGGTTCTTCGGATTCAGCAACCTCACCCTCAGTCGGCTGTTTGTCCTCAACGGGCTCTTCTGAATCAACAGGCAGGTCCTGACCACCATCAAGAGACTGGGGAAGATCCTTGACATCACCAGAGGAACTGATCTCATTGTTATCCTCACTCGCTGTAGTACCTTCGAACAAAACCTGTAGATTGCCCTCTCCAATTTTGTCGAATGCAGCGAGCTTTCCCTTCGCAGCAAGACGTAAGATACGCCAGGACTTGCTGGCTTTAGCACCTTCCGCAATCGCCTTGTCCTCATCAGTCATCGCCATATCGATGTCCATCTCATCATCCATAATCCCCTTCAAGAACGAGTCTGCGGAAGGAACGCTGTATCGGTCAGGCTCTTTGAGGCGCTCAATATTGGCCAGCGCCTCCGTGTCGGCAAGGAATTTCAAATCGAGAGAGCCCATCGGGGACGGACGAAGACGTTTGTTGGCATACGCTTTGGTGGCATGCTCGCGGGAAGCCGTATACTCCGTCGCCGAGATGGCCGGTCGTTCAATCAACGGACAGCCCTCGGCCTTCCACCGCACCCAGTTCTTGTCTCGAGACAGGACCGTATCCACCATGCGATAGTAGAACTTGCCTCCGGGCCCTTGCTGCAGATATTCCTCGATGCCTTTTCGCATGTTAGTCGCCCACTTGGTATCCTCTTCGTTCAAGGTGAACCCGTAGAGAACGGACTTGTTCGTCGTATCGGCTAGACGTGATTTGGATTTTGATGTGAGAGAAAGCAGAAAGTCGAGAAGAATGAGGGCTTGGACAAGAACATGTCGTCGGAAGGCAGTATCGCTGATTTCGAGGTCGAACAAATCCCGACTGGTCAAGTACTTCGGGTTGAAGCTAGTGGCGACCTCAGTACCATCCACGATGCGTTTGCGCTTGTTTGACTTGCGGGCATCTTCCGAGGCTCTAGCAGAGCTCTCGTTTTCCATCTCAGTGTTGATGTTCTTGAAGGCAGCCAGCGTCGCTTCCATTCCAGTCTTGAATGATGTGAACCGTTCAGCATCGAACATCTTGCTCGGTGAGGAGAAATAGGCCTGAAGACTCCAGAAAAGCGGATAGAGAGCATCCAAGTCGACATCGTCTGATTTATTCTCATCACCCGTAGAAACAAGAACCTTGGGCACTTTCGACGTTTGCTGAGAAGGGGTCTCAGCCTGGCCTGCCTCTGCCTCTCCAGGTGCTACGGGTTCAGTACTTTCAGTCATTGTTGTATCCTGCTCCTGCGTCTCGGTAGACCCTTTCGCAATTTCGTCAAAAGTCGTAACATTCTCAGAGTGGAACTCGCCACGAAGGTTAACCGAACTCTTGTCTCCCAGTGGGAAACTCTGGAAAAGATAGATAAACACCCGGCCACAGAATACTGTGTCTTCTGCGCGTGAGAGCCGGCGAAGAAGTTCGTTACATGATCGCAGAATAACTAAGCTTTTCTGTTTGAAATGTTTCTTTTGCAGGGTCAGCTTTGCAACAGATATAGTAGGTAAGGGGCTATGCTGACCTTGGTGTTCCTTTCCCTTCGAGACTCTAAGTAGTCAAACACCTTGCGGCAGCCATTGATGGTTTGACTATCCAAGAGCTCTTCAATGAGCCAGAAAATCAGACCGGGTTCGCATTGTTCTGGTGGTTATTAGAGACATATGGATTGCGGATGGAGTGCGGAGGCTGACCATTATCAGAGAAGATTGAGACAATGTCAAGGAGGTTCCAGATTTGAATGAAAGCAGGATCATCGATGGAAGTCGAAGCCTATGGTCAAATGTTAACAATGCTCTGGGGACTAGCGCTGTGTACGGAACCGTACCAAGACGCGATAGAACTTCTCGCGAAACGCGATTTCCACAGCTGCAACCTTGGTCTGCGGGCTTAAATGATTTGTAGCCTTGATATCCTCAGATCCCAATTGCCATATCGATTCACCCAGGTGTGTTTCGGTCAAAGGGGGTTCAATCTGCTTGTCGGCCTTGACCTGCGCGGCGCGATCCAGGAGACTGTCGACTAGTATTTTGTAGACCTGGACACCGGCAACGTCCTCGTTTGCCATTTTATGAATTGTCTACCCCGGCACCTGTGTAACGGACCTTTGTAAGGGACTTGTGAGGGGTTGTCGCAGGGTGTCGCCTCGGAGTGTTGTCTCGAGCGTGTTCGTAGGCGCCTTCTCGAAGGTGTTTTTAGGGGGTCGTGGTCTGATTCTTGATCGCAGTTGTCAAGTTCTTCTCAAGCGTATCTCCAATCGTCCCTCGAAGACGGATAACAAGAGAAAGAAGAAAGCTTAGATGGGTGTAGAAAGGAGGGAAACAAAGTGACTGGAGTGATTGAGGACTGCGGCTCGGCGGGACTCAAAGCCAAGACTTTTTGGAAAAAGCTCCCCCAGCTTCACCAATTCAGATGTTCCCGACTGCGTCAATCCACCCCTCCTTGACCAACCCCAATCTATTAGGTTAAGGAAACTTTTGACTCCTGCGATGGCGCAGAGTCTCGAATCCAGGCCTACAGTGGTGGACTTTCGTGAGGAAAGCCCGTGGGTGCAGCTAGCCAAGGCCCACTGGCTGAACACGAAGGTCCGTAAGGCCAAACCAGATGTCATCAAAAAGCAATTGTGGGATCCTTTGGAAGCAGAGGCCTTCCACAGTCGCTCGCTATTGATTCTAGAGAATTTGAACATTCTTGAGAAGTATGTTCTCTCCAGTCATGCCTACAGGGCTAACGCTAACTGTGTTCCAGGTTTCTTTGGCCGACTTACACAGAGGATGCATCTAATCATCATGTACTGTTGATTGCATTGATTGTCAGCGTGAAGCATCGCGAGCACTTGCCGATATGGGGTGAGTCAATGCGACGAGATCTATAATGCGGCAAAGCTGACAATGGCAGATATCTTCTCCGACCGTGCCGATGATTTCTCCAATCTCTTTCACCGTATTCTCTCGATGAGCATTGATCATTCGCTTTTAACCCGCTCTCGGCTCTCTATCATATCGTTTATCATCAGCGCCTTCCAGTCGCTTGAGAATATCCTGATCCGCAAAGAATGCGCGCCTCTCGTTTCCATCTCGGTTTGGCACAACTTAGCTAGCGAGGAGACGCGAGATCGTATCATTGCAAAGGCCCCAACACTGAAGAAGGCATGGAGAGCCTCTGTGAAGCGATACGAGGCTGGAGATGAAGCGGCGAAAGCAAAGATACGATTCGAACGTTCATGGCTATACACACTGCTCTTGGATTTCCTTCATAGGTTGAACGGACCCGAAAAGGACCAAGCTGATAACTTGCTATACTGTGAACGTTTTATTGAGCTCTTAGTTGATCTTGAAAGTCAGCTTCCCACTAGGCGCTACGTCAACACATTGTTGAAGGACCTCAACCTTTTATCGATTATTCGCCTTTCACAGCTCTACCGTGTGCCTGATAACGCACTTCTTCGCGACTTTCACGGCCTTCTCAAACATTTCATCGAATTTGCAATTGACGATTACTCTGGCGAGGCTCTTTCTCCGCAGGGAGTCTACGACCTACATTGCCGGGAATTGGCCCAGCTGCAAAGAACCTCAATGAAATTCTTCAAAGACAAGCTCATGATCCTTGCGTTGTCCAATATGGGGTCAATTGAGCAGCGCGGGGATCTAGAGAGCCAGCTATCTTCTCTAGACGAGTCGGAACTCCAGAGCCTTTGCTCTCACCTAGGATTCCGCACAAGCTACCCGAAGGCGTCACATGTTACTCCAGACCGTCAGTTCTATCTGGAAGTTTTGGCGTCTTCTTATGAACGCAAGGTACCCTTCCAAGAAGCTGTGGAGAAGCTGAGTCCACTTCCGACGGAAGAAACCCTCTACGACCCGGCCTTGTTGAGGAATGAGACATACGACGGATCGAGGCCTCTGGCAATCCCAAAGTTGAATCTCCAGTATCTGAGCCTCGGAGATTTCCTTTGGCGCTCCTTCCTCCTGTACCGATCAGAAGCATTCTTCCAAATCCGTAAGGACATGGAGTCCCTCGTCAAACGCATGAAACCAAAGGCAGCACGTGATGGAAGCATCAACTTTGAGGGGTTCTCTCGAATGGCTATTCCAATTTCAAAGCCTGCCATCATTGATGTCGCACCGCCAAAGGTCGGAGCCACAAACCCGGCTTTTGTTCGAGCCGAGATTGCGATCGAGGTGGGAAGACTTGCAGATAATGTTAGAAGAGAATGGGACTCACTCCGTCCAGATGACGTTGTTTATCTTTTGGCGGTCCAGCCCAGCTCGTCGCAGTCGGAACAAGGCGCATCTGAAGCCCCTCGGATGACCCATCTTCGAACGGCAGAGATCGTACAGGTCCTTGACGAGCAAGGCCGCGCATTGCGACAGTACCCTGGCCAGGCAAATGGCTCTCAGTCCAGGGCACGATCAAGGAGATTGATCGTCAACCTAGATGCGGCTGCATTTAAAGCCGACAAGGACCAGCAGGCCCACGGCAAACCGGAGATTTACCCCCTTATCAACGTGATTGCACGGAGAAAGGGCAGAGAGAATAACTTTAAATCAATTCTCCAGACGATGCAAAAGCTTATTGTTTCTGATATGACGCTACCTTCCTGGCTCCAGGACATCTTCCTGGGCTATGGAGATCCCGCCAGCGCTCGATACACGCAACTGCCAAATAGACTGAGGTCTGTCGACTTCCGAGACACATTTTTGGATTGGTCTCATTTAGTGGAAAGTTTCCCGGGAATTGAACCTTCAGGGGCCGAGAACGCCAGCTTTGGACCCCCTACGTTATTGAATACGTCAATCAAGAGCCTGCAGCAGATCCTCACGCGCCAAAGAAGCGACGTAGGGAACAAGCTGCAGAGGCAGAGTTGACGCCTAGCAGTATGCGTGTTTCCACATACAAGCCGCCAAACCCTGGCCCCTACCCCGTCGACGCTCCCAAATTGAACAAAATCCGTTTCACTCCCGCTCAAGTGGAAGCCATCGCATCTGGAACGCAGCCGGGACTCACCGTCATTGTGGGACCCCCTGGTACTGGAAAGACTGATGTCACCACGCAGATCATCAACAACATCTATCACAACTTCCCTAATGAACGGACGCTACTCATTGCACACAGCAACCAAGCCCTCAATCAATTATTTCAAAAAATCATTGCCCTAGATATTGATGAACGGCACTTATTGCGATTGGGTCACGGCGAGGAAGAATTGGATACTGATTCCAACTACAGCAAGTATGGACGAGTTGAATCCTTCCTTGACAATCGCAATTACTATTTGTCAGAAGTGATGCGCTTGGCAGCATCGATTGGAGTCGAGGGTGCGCATGGAAATTCATGCGAGACCGCAGGCTACTTCAATACAGTTTACGTGCAGCCAGCGTGGGCCAAATTCTGGGATCGAGCCAATTCTGAAGGAACATCAAATGAAGAGATTGTCGCATCCTTCCCGTTCCACTCATACTTTGCAAATGCCCCCCAGCCCCTATTCGAGGCTGAAGCCGCGAAGGAGGTGATCATCGACACTGCTGCAGGTTGCCAGCGTCACATTGCTCGAATCTTCACTGAGTTGGAAGACATCCGGCCATTCGAGATCTTAAGACAACCTCGCGATAAAGCGAATTATCTCCTCGTGAAAGAGGCCCGGATCATCGCGATGACCTCGACCCACGCAGCTATGCGTCGGCAAGAAATTGCCGACCTAGGTTTCCACTACGACAACGTGGTCATGGAAGAAGCCGCGCAGATTACTGAAGTTGAGAGTTTCATCCCCAACGCTCTGCAAAACATGAAGGACGGTGAACTTCCTCTCAAGCGTGTTGTTCTTTGTGGTGATCACTACCAGAACTCACCCATCATTCAGAACATGGCTTTCCGTCAATATGCCCACTTTGAGCAAAGTCTCTTCTTGCGACTGGCACGACTGGGTGTTCCGGTCATCAACTTGGACAAGCAGGGACGTGCACGACCTAGCATTGCAGAGCTCTTCCGCTGGCGGTATAAAGAACTCGGAGACCTTCCAGTGGTCGAAACTGCCCCCGAGTACCAGCAGGCCAATGCCGGTTTCCAATTCGACTACCAGTTCATCAATGTCCCAGACTACCAGGGTTCTGGAGAGCGAGAGCCGACACCTCACTTTATTCAGAATTTGGGTGAAGCGGAGTACGCAGTGGCCATTTATCAGTACATGCGACTTCTGGGCTACCCTGCGTCTCAAATCTCGATCTTAGCTACATATGCTGGGCAGACGGCTTTGATTCGGGATGTATTGAGTCACCGCTGTGGCAAGAACCCCATGTTTGGAATGCCCAAGATTGTGACAACGGTGGATCGTTACCAGGGAGAACAGAATGATTGTGAGTTGACTCCCTCCCAAAGCGTGTTTATGCAGCACAAAACGTTGCAATAGCTAACAGTTTTCAAGACGTAATCCTTTCTTTGACCCGAACCCGCAGCGTTGGATACCTGCGCGACGTCCGCCGCCTGACTGTAGCTCTCTCCCGCGCACGACTGGGCTTGTATATTCTCGGCCGACGGGAAGTCTTTGAGTCGTGCTACGAACTCAAGCCCGCATTCGATCTTCTTCTGCAACGACCGGATAAGCTCATGCTCGCGCCTGGCGAGATGTTCCCGTCGTCGCGGGAAGCGAACGCCGTTATCGAGGGCACACCGATGGAGAGCGTTGAGCACCTCGGACAGTACGTGTTTGAGATGACGCAGGCCAAGGTTAAGGCTATGGGTGATGGAGATATCACCATCGAGGACGCGGCGCCGGCTGGCGAAGATGCCTATTTGGACGAGGATGAGGCTATGGGAGTGGATGATGAAGACGAAGATATTGTATGAGATGTTCCGCAAGCTAAAATGGCACAGCAATACTCAATAAAGGACTTGGTTAAGACTCCACAAATTTTGCTTCTTTGCATTCTCTGGGAGGCGTTGAATGTGCGATTCATTCTAGAATTTCTAGGGTTATCTACTACATAGTAACATTTGGTAGTTGAGATGAACATGAAAATTCTGGTCTCAGATAGAAGGGTATAGTATAATTTGAGGATATGAGCAGACCTGTTGCTGCAGTGTCGACTGATTTCAGTTTTCTCCAGCTGTCATTCTCAATAACTTCTGGTAGATACGAGACTTGTTCGACCAAAGCGTTTCGATTTCCTCAATCTTAGCACCCACTTTCGCCCTCATTGGTCCTTGTGCTTGTTCATTTCTTCCACGATGTTATTTGGGTCTTTCCAAGCCTGGGCCACATATCTAAGCGGCATTAGCAGTTAATTTGGGTAACAGGATAGGGTACACACTTCGTGTGGCTTCCACGGGCAACGACATGACCGCTGGAGTTCGTGAACTGGATGTTCGTGAAAGCAAGGGTCTTGCCAACTAAGCGCGGCTAGTCAGATGATGACCAACAGATTAAGCAAAAAAGGCGTGTAGAGATTAGGTGACGTACATTTATCACAAGTCACCTCCTAATGTCGAAAATTAGTACACGTTTGGGAAGATTGGGATAGAGAGATATAGCAAGATGAAGAAAGACATACGGCCAAGATGCGGTCACCAATTTTCCCACCCGAGTTCAAGTATGTGACTTGAGAGGATTGGATTAGAAACGGAGAATTCAGATGTTATAGCCATCTTATATACTTACCATTTAGGTCCGTCGAGACACCTGTCGCAAACAAGCCACGAGATGCCACGGCCAACGAGCCTCCAAGGTCCACTAGAGCAAATTTTAGCCAAAAGATATAGGTTTTGTCCACGTACAGGGATCTTACCCATGCTTGCAATGGTGCCTCCATGGAGGATATTCAAGCGATTCTAAACGACACGGACGTTAGAGAAGAACGTTCCATGTGCGAAACTGGGTCTTTGAAAAAACCCCCAAGAATGTTCGCTAGAGACACTTAGATCTCAAAGAGACATACTGTATGCTCCTTCTGAATATCCAGCTCAAAGTTGACTACACCGGGCCTGGCTGCTGTAACACGGAGCTATTGTAGATATCAGTGAAAACGTAAAGGTAAATATTAGAATAACTGACCCAGGCTTACATTATTCAGCAGCCTACAGCCAAATTGAAGTGAGATGTTAGTTTTTCTCTAATGCTTGAGAGACAGAAGCAAGTTGGGACGCATTTCATACCGCGGCTCCAGACCCGAGGTAGCTCGGAAGGACTCCCACACCTATAGATAGTGACATGCATTAGTAGGAAGTGAAAGACGGACTATCAAGACCCTGATAATTACCGAGCGGACAAATTTAAGAGAAGCCATATCTCAAATGTGACAAATGTCTTGGAGAGGGAATCATATAGGGGAGTGCCAACAAGTCCAACGTACTTGACCCGGCGATTCGGGAGCATCTCGGGAGCTGCATTTTATGGCCGCTCCGGTCACCGTACAAGCGTCATTTCATCCAACCACTTCACCTAGGCACTTTATTGTTTTCAGTTGCTTGAGAACTTGGTTTCTCACAGCTAACTATGGCAAGTGCAACATCCCGTCCCCTGGAGTACCTGGAGGGGCTTCCCGGGACGACTTTTTATAAATTATACCAGCAGCCATCTACAGCCCTTGCGATCTTCCGGCGCATGTTGCCTGATTTAGGTATGTTGAGCTCACTCGCACGGCAGGGCACTTTGTGCTAACAGTGAGTATAGCAAAATGCTTTGTAATGGCCTTACTCTACCTAAAAGACCCTCTTCCAACAGCTGATCTGGAAGTTTGGGTCAATTCAGAGAGCAAGAAGTGAGTGACCTACCTGATAGGCCTCGCCCCAGTCAATACTGACGATGTTCACACAAGGGAACGGGATAATGCGCTTTCAATATTGGGTCGACTTCACATACTATCTACGACCCTCACAAGTGAAAATGTTCGTGCGTACATGGTCACCAACCCATTCGCTGCTTCGCTTCGACAAGCTCTGATGGGCGCCGAGGACTCTCACTCTTTCGGTGTATTCTCTCAAGCCCCAGAACATACCCTGACTTCGATTGCCGATTTGGACGAATATGCTCGACGGCAGTGGGAAGGTGTGATGGGGTACATGGTTGGAACGAGTGCCTTGAGTGGACAGCGCGATGCGGTTAATTTGAGCAAGGGTGTCAAACAGCTTCTCCAAGCGGGACACCTAGTTGAGATCCGAGGCAACCGTGTTGACATTACCAAAGACGGGTTCGGATTTGTGCTCCAGGACGTGAACACACAAGTCTGGCATATCTTGATTCTTTATGTCGAGAGCGCCGAGGCCATTGGAATGGATAGCGTTGAAGTTCTCTCGTTCCTGTTCCTTCTGAGCAGCCTGGAACTTGGATCATCTTACGATAAGAGCCACATGACACCCAACCAACTTCGCACTCTCACGGACCTCGCCGATTTTGGTATTGTTTACCAGGAAGACGCCGACGCGACGCGCTTTTATCCTACGCGTCTTGCAACTACACTTACATCCGACTCGAGTGCCCTGAGCAACCCTGTCACGGGTTCTCTCACTGGCCCAGCAGGGCCGTCTGGTGGCACTGGCTCCGGGTTCATCATCATCGAAACCAACTACCGACTCTATGCCTACACATCGTCACCCCTACAAATATCCCTGATCTCCCTTTTCACAAACCTCAAATACCGCTTCCCCAATCTAGTCACCGGCAAAATTACTAGACAGTCTGTCCGCCGAGCCATCGAGATGGGAATCACTGCCGATCAAATAATCTCATACCTATTATCGCACGCACACCCACAGTTGCGGAAACACAGTGCTGCTCAATCCAATGGCAAGGGTGTCCCGGCATCTGTCCTCCCGCCTACAGTGACAGATCAGATCAGACTGTGGCAGCTGGAGCGCGACCGTCTCCGGGCCACGGCGGGCTTTTTTGTTCAAGGACTTCACCAGCTTGACCGAATATCAGGCTCCTTGCCAATATGCAGCGGAGATTGGCGTGTTAGTTTGGAAGTCAGATCGGAAGCGCATGTTCTTTGTCACGAGGCATGAGCAGGTAGCTGCATTCTTGCGGAGTCAAAAGGTAGGAGGGAAGTAACATAGTTATGCAAGGCATAGGACTTCCATCATTACGAAATTGGAAGATCAGGCAACAAGGCCTGTCGGGTGTTATGGATAATGGAAAGCATCTTACGAAATCACGACCCATGGCCGTTTACACGGCTGTGATATAAAATTGTACAATAAACAATGAAGGAAAATTATGCTCAAAAGAAAATGCAGCCTAATCGAAAGAAAGCCACTATCTGCTACACATACCTCCAGACCTTCCATTCAACCTATAAATCACACCCTTAGGCGCAGGTTACATACATTCATTACCATTGCAATGTATACCTTAGCAATTATACACTAATCTTCCGCGTAAAAGTCATCCACTCACCACCTAAAACCTTCCTCCGATAGCTAACATAAGTATGCCCAGAAATATCGTCCGGCAGAAGAATCTTAACATCCGAGACCCTCGCCTCGGCTGGCACCTTCGGCACAAGTAATTCTTCGTGCTTGGGCAGAATATGCCCTACCGAAGAATGAACAGACATATTATCAGCATAAAAGTCCCCCTCTTCAACCTTAATAATCTCCTCCAAAACATCTGCCAAAAGCGAACCGTTCCACAGCCCTTCCCGATGCGGCGCAGCCCTCAACGCCCTCACAGCTTGCCGCCGGAGCCGCGGAACACGACATTTAAGGGCCGTGTAGTATATGGGCGGAATGTACCCCATCTCAACGGTGAACCCGTTAGCAACACAGTCCGGTGACTTCAGGTATTGGTTGAGTGTGGGGGCCTTTTCGAGGAGTTCTAATAAAGAAGCTTCCAGAATCACGTTCAAGTCGGACATTGTCTTGAAGTTCTGGAAGATGGCTTTCAGGTCTTCGGGTGCGTTATCTAGCTTCGAGATATCCTCTTTGCGAAAGACCGTTGATGACCAGATTCTCCATATGTCGAGGAAGCTGGTCATTATTTTGATGAAGTTATCGGTATAAGAGTCAAAGATAAGCTCGGATTCGGTGCCTTCTGGTGAAAGGCAGACTGAGGCCATTATTTCCGCCATTTCGTGGTACACCCGTAGAAGGAGGTAGCCCATTTGATCCTTCCCTGATATCTTGCTGGTTCTGAGGCGTGCGACTGTGACGGTGTATGTTTTGCCCCAGCGAGATAGGTCTGCAAGAATTCTGCTTTGGGTGTTGAGCATTTGTTGCTTGTTGGTTGGTGCCTGGGGTGCGTGGTGGTCGCGGTAATGCTTTTCTAGACAGTGGATTCTGTTCAGAAGGTCATCTAGACTGCGTCTTGCTTCTAGAAGCGAGCTGAATGTATAAGGGAGACGGGTAGATAGCGGGTCTTTTGTTACAATATACATGTGTGAAGCCACATGGCCGAACATGGCCGCTTGAATGCCCAGTCGGACATAGGCGTCGACTAGGGCATTGTAGGCAAAGTCTTCATCGGGAGACAGAGTGGTAGGCATCATGGATGACGGAGGACGTGGTGCGGATATGTCGGAGAGGAGCTTCATGCCATACTGGAGATGCGCACCTGCCATCTGATACTGCCCACGCATGTATTCTAGGGTAATAAAGAGCATGCATGTAATCAACGCTACTCGGAGAGAGTACCTATTGTTGGTTACATTAGTGCGTAGGTGCTGAATTGCTTTGTTATATTGCCGAAGAGTGAAACATTCTTCGTCGTATTTAGTCAGCGTGGTGGTAGATTGGTGCTGGAACCGATGCGTGGATGACACGGCAATGACAGCGTGGCGCACAGCAGGTTCCTGTGCACTAGCTTGGAAGATCAATGTCTCCCAGAAGTCAGATGGAAATAAACCGGCGAACTTCTTTGCAGTTCGTTTGATTAGCCAGTCGAAGCACAGTTGTTCCTCGTGGCTGAGGTTGCCGACTGGAACCGGTGTGCAATAGGTTGATAGATCACGGTTGCCATTTGGCTGACCGTAGGGACTTCCGCCTCCCCCCAGATGCCATAGCCATCGCAGACACGGCCGGTTGATACACAGCGTCGACAAGCTGGTCGGCCTTCGTCACATTTGACCCGGCGAATTCTTGATCTAGTTAGAGAGTGCTAGAATGTGGATGGAAAAATACTTACTTGCATGTCTTGCACCCTGTTTTGGCCTTTTTGCGGGATAATGGGACGTGCCCGTGCATATTAGCAGTGGAGGAACAAGTGAACATAACTCTCACGCCGAGAATACATAAAATGGATTCCGAGGTCCTTGGCGTACTTGGCAGATTTTCGGAGTTAACCTCTAACTGCGACAGGATCTGATTGGCCAGCTCGCTTTTGAAGCATTTTAATTGGCTGGTTATTGAAGACCCATAGATCGTGGGTGCCAGGTAGATATCGACTTGAATGTTAATGAATGACGCACCTTGTAATGGACTCGGATGGAGTTAAGATATTCGGTGCTAGCATTGAGGAGAATGGATTCTTCATGATATAAATAGTCCTGTTAGTACCGATGTTTTTGTCTTCACAATTCCCAAGATTCTATTTCTACTGTTTACATCTTGTTCTTCGGATTCTATTTGATACCATCCCAGCCATGTCTCTTCCCACTCGACCTCTTGGCCGTAATGGCCCTCAAGTTCCTGCAGTTGGTCTCGGGCTTATGAGCCTCGGCAGTATCTATGGAGACGCCGGTTCTCTCGAAGACAAGGTAGCTTTCCTTGAGCATGCCCATGCGATCGGTGCGCGATTCTGGGATACAGCCGACCTGTACTTTGACAGTGAAGATGCAGTAGGGGAGTGGGTGAAGAAATCAGGAAATCGCAAGGATATCTTTTTGGCCACAAAGTTTGCGATCCAATTTGATACCGCCACGGGTATTCAGACACTCCGCTCTGACCCCGAGTATGTCAAGGCTGCTTGTGAGAAAAGTCTGAAGAAGCTGGGGGTTGAGAAAATTGATCTTTACTACTGCCATCGAGTTGATGGCGTAACACCTATTGAAAAGACCATTGAGGCTATGGTTGAGCTGAAGAAGTGAGTCATATCCCCTCATATGAAGAGACTCAAGTCACCGATACATTATCAGGCAAGGCAAGATCAACTATCTTGGATTATCTGAATGTTCTGCTGCAACTCTGCGCCGTGCCCATGCTGTTCACCCTATTGCCGCATACCAAGTGGAATACAGTCCATTCGCTTTGGACATTGAATCACCCACCGCCGATATTTTGACCACCTGCCGTGAACTTGGTATCTCTGTCGTTGCCTATAGTCCTGTTGGCCGAGGTATCTTGACTGGCCAGATCCAATCGTTCTCCGATATTCCTGAAAATGATTTCCGCCGCATGCTCCCCAAGTATGCACCGGAACATTTCCCAAAGATCCTCGAACTAGTTCAGGGGTTGAGAGATGTTGCCAACGATCATGGTAGCACTCCAGCCCAAGTTGCCATTGCATGGCTTCTTGCTCAGGGCTCTGACATCATTCCTATTCCCGGCACAAAGTCGATCAAGAATCTTGATGAGAATACCAATTCCATCTCTCTTCATTTGACGGATATTGAGCTGCATAAGATCCGGGCGTTGATCGAACGGACTGAGATCCCTGGATCGCGGTATCCTAATGTGTGAGTTTGTCCATGTAATTCAAGTTGACATGTTGCTAATATCATTTCAGGATGATGGGAAGCGTGTTCGGTAATACTCCGCCACTATAGGTTTGACAGTTCCTCCTTTGATTTAGTTCAAAATACTTCGCTCTGATCTATAATGTATTATGTTTGTTTGGTTTTGTGATGTATTTTTGGCTGATGTCATATTCCTCAGACATCACAAGAGGCCAATGAATTGAAGTACACAAGAATGAGACGGGGCCAAAATTCAACTACTCGGTACCCAGGGGGAATTCTACTGAAGATTCCCAAAATTTCCAGGGTGTAAATTTGGTAGGGGCTTAATACCCTATGAACATAAGTAACCGTCTATTTTGCCTCAATCAGGTTGTCCATACTTTAGAAGACAAAGCACAGAATAATTTCTCATTTGAGTTGGAAATTTCCAGTACATCCATGCATTGTGGGAGGTATGGCTGCCCGAGACCATCCTGTTCGCAGGGCCTTTCGCTTGAATATCTCTCTCTCTAGTCATGATCTTTCCCCCGGATTTGCCATCTTTTCAAGTTTCTTTGCGCTATTAAGCCATGAACGCCAGGACCTACAAGTGATATTCAAGTAAACATTTTGCAAGTTACCAAATATAAATTTGAGTTTCTTCACACGGGTTATTCTTGAATCATTCAATTTATAGAGACATTTCATTGGTTACTTCGCGGTAAATCCATTCCAAGACGGAGAGAGCCGTGTCGAAACTAAAATTTCAAGGTTTTCATACATTACATCATGTGTTATATCAGGCCTTCGTATATCGTTTGAACACTTAAAAATATCAAAAGTACGTACATTAATATGTACTAGAATTGCCCAATCAATGTAAATTCCGTAAATTGATATTGACCAATCAAATCCAAGCGATGTCGGTATACTTGTAGTAAAATATCAGAGCAAATCTTACACGCATATGAAACCAAGTCTAGGCAGGATTGTTCCGGATATTGGGCCAAATACCGAAAATATCAAGTAACCAGAAGCAGTGCACTGACCTTATAGTGACTAATTGGGGTGAAGCACAGCATTATGTACTCCGAATAAACGATGATCAGCATGTCTTCAGCATTATCTAGGTTATGCCGATCAATCCTACAAGCGTGGGATGTACAAAAAGTGACCAATCGACAACAAGTCTTCTATTACTTCCTCACCAACGACTTGCTTACAACCAAGTAGAATTATTTCTCTATGGGAGGTCAATGCAACTTGTCACTATGGGTTGCCGTGTTAGCTAAGACGATTTGCAGAACGGGATCTATTGCCACGTTGTATGAAACCTCTGAATAATCCAGATCTAGGGCCGATCAATCCTGCGATTGTCGAATGAACCAAAAGTGGCCAATGGACAACACGTTCTTCGTTACTTCCTCGCTGAAGAACTTGGTTATAGCCCTCTAGATTATTTGCTCATGGGAGGTCAATGCGACAGGTCACCATGAGCTGCCGTATTGACCTACAGAATATGCAGAACGAGATCTATTACCACAATAGTAAGCCTCTTGGAGAATTCAGGTCTGGGCAAAGAAGTGCAATCAACACAAACATCAAGTCTGGCAGAATGGATATATAAAGCCTCAAGAAATGTCCGGACTGTCACATAGCATCAAGATTTGATTTTGAAAACATCGATCACCAACACCAACGCAGATATCTCATCACAATACTTCACCATGGCCGTTCCAACCCTCAACTACAGTCATTATATCTCGGGCACCAAAGAGCAGCGCGAGACATTCTCTCATGAACTGCTAGATAGCTTTGAAAGAACTGGATTTGCAAAGCTCAAAGCCCATGCATTCAACACAAAAGAGCTTACCGAGTTGTTCAACTGGGTGAGGTGTCCTTCAATAGATCTGTGATTGGCACAACGACTAACTATCTCCAGGGCAAGAAATTTTTTGATCAGCCATTGGATGTGAAGAACAAAATTCCAAACGAAACAGGCCCTAGGCCCATGCGTGGCTACACACCATGGCGGGTTGAGGAGGTTGGAAAGCTTCACCATGATGCACAGGTCAGGATCATGAAGGATTCAAAGGTTCGTGAAAGAAAACGTAGTATTGGAAGTGCCCACGATCTTGACTAATCATGATAATCCAGGAACATTTCGACCAGGGCCCTGAATACGACACAGAGTACCCAAACAAATGGCCCCAGGAGCCTGAGCTATCAGGCTTCCAAGACTTCATGGAGGAGTTTTACCGCAAGTGTGACAGCGTTTGCCTGACTCTGATGAAGGCTCTCGAGGTCGCTTGGGGTATCGATGATGGGTCTTTGGTGGCACGCTGCGTTCCCAGCGCCACAGATCTCCGACTCACTCACTATCCCACAATTCCCGTCGACGAGATGAAGTCTGGCAGCACAAGCCGGATTGCACCACATACCGATTTCGGTCCCATCACATTGCTTTTCCAAGACAGCACTGGTGGCCTAGAAATTGAGGACCGGACCAGTAACACTTTCGTTCCCCTCCCCCCGACTGATACGACTGAGATGATTGTCAATGTTGGCGATACGCTGACGCGTTGGACCAATGGAAAGATCACTGGAGGTATCCATCAGGTCACTACTCCCGAATCAATGAAGGGGGAGAGCGGCTTGGTGATTCCACCCCGGATGTCGATGGCTTATCTCTTCAAAGCTGAGCGCAATACATCGGTTGGCCCACTGCCCAAGTTTGTCGCCCAGGAGCCGGCAAAGTACCCCGAAATCACGGCATTCGAGTTTCAGCGATGGAAAAATAGCATTGTGTACAATGTGGAAGATGAAGAACATGCCCGCACTTTTGATCGCTTCATTGAGACCCCTAAGGCTATCAAGTTGCAGGCATAATTGAATCAGCCCATGTTGGAAATTTGAGTCCTTCAGTTGGATGAATAAAATCTCACTCCTATGGAGTACACACATGTATCTAAAATGAATAAGAATGTTCTTTTTTATGACAATTCAGTCCACTTGTAACGAGAAAAAGATCTGACTTTCAGATCGAAGTGCAGACAGAGTCACATATGGTGTTATAACTATATCTTTGTTAAAATTTGAATGAACCTCTAGTTAGTATAAAACATTGGTGCATGTTCATACATTAACCTTGAATGTATGTTATATGGACCCACTTTTGTGGCTCACCGATGCTCGTGGTGATTGGCCATTTCTAGTGCCCTACATAGTTCTTTCTGGGTTCTGATTGGCCAAAATGAGCCCCCAGGGTGGATTATCCATTGCTGATTGGTCAATTTGAGAACACATTGATCTGAAACCAACTAATTTGCAATCACCTAGGTAGTATTCACTCGGACATTGAAGTGCAAAGACTGACTTTCAAGAACTTGAGAAGATGGAAACACCAAAGCTTTTAGATTATTGCGCAAGTACCGTACAGCAGCGTGAGCTTTGAATGAAAATGGCAATTAAAATCAACTTTGATTTCGCCGTTTTCAGAGAGATTGTACCTGTTCCTGTACCTTGCTCGAGACAGACTGACCTTTAATTGGCTATTTTGAGTACACTGTCAGCGCTTTCTCTCATTGGCCACTATCAATACAATAACATTCCCTGCTGCTGATTGGACACATTCAGGACATACTGACAGGGTATAACATTATTGTTGCTTAAGGTTGTCTTCAATCAAATTCTCGCTCATGGTCTCTGTCGTCATACCTCTGGAAACTTGAAAAGAAGCTTATCTATAAAACTTATAAGGATCCGCAACTACTAGTACAGCAAACAATTGCCTTCTTCCTTTCGAATTTACAGATGATTCCAAGACGTGAAAGATGAGACAACCCGAGACGAGACCTCCAAGGTCCGAATTCAGCTCATCCCCAATGGATGTCCCGGATCCCTCAATTAAAAAAGAGATGCTCGCTCACAACAATTACTCTTCGCCTTCCGATGCCGAAAAATCATCGCCGCATCTCCCCACAGCACCCGACCTAGCACCTTTAAACGTTGAAATCACTTATCCAGAAGGTGGTCGCCAAGCCTGGTTGGTGGTGTTGGGTGCATGGTGTGGCTTGACCTCATCGCTGGGTATTTACAACACATCCGGTGTGTTCGAGGTCGTGATATCCAAAGTGATATTACCGGAGGCCTCATCATCTACCCTTGGCTGGATATTCTCAGTCTACGCCTTCGTGAACTGGGTTTGTGGAGTACAAGTTGGACCGACCTTTGATGCAATGGGCCCTCGCGCACTAATGATTGCGGGGACTATTTGCACGCTGATTGGTATTTTCACACTCAGTGTCTCAACAGGTAAGATCAGTTCTCATACTATACCACTTGCAAAACTTCATCCTTATATAATATGCCAGGCCCGTATCTCCATTGCTAATGACTATATAGAATACTACCAGATCTTCTTGTCATTCTCCATCATGACTGGCATCGGCTCATCCCTTCTCTTGACACCGTCAATGGGCTGCGTCGCTCATTGGTTCATGGAACGTCGCGGCCTTGCTAGTGGTATAGCATTCATAGGAGGTGGTTTCGGTGGGGTTCTTTTCCCCCTGATGATACAATCACTCCTCCCCCAAGTTGGCTGGGGATGGTCGATCCGGATCCTCGGATTCGTACTCCTCGTACTTTGCGCTATCAGCGTGGCATTTTGCCGGAGCAGAATTCCTCCCCGCAAAGGAGCTGAAACAACCTGGCGCGATACTTTGCCGGACTATAAAATCTTCTTGGATGGAACGGGAGCCATGGCACTCACAACTGCAGGAGTCCTTCTGACGGATTTAGCATACTTCATCCCGATCACGTACATACCACGTTACTATATCGATCGACAGCATCTGCCCGATGAGGATGCTCTGGCGGGATCGTCGGCATTTGCCTATCAGCTTCTCGCGATTCTCAATGCCGCTTCATGTGTTGGCCGATACGTGGCGGGCGACATGGCGGATCGATTTGGCAGATACAATACCATGATTGTCTCATTGTTCTTCTGCACAGCATCAGTTCTAGGCTTCTGGCTACCAGATATTCTTGCACCAAACCTGGATTCATACGCGCTCGTGGTAGTTTTTATACTACTGTTCGGGTTCTGCAGCGGTTCAAATGTGAGCTTGACACCCATATGTCTTGGTCAGCTTTGCGAAACTCAGGAATATGGACGATATTACGCGAGTTGTTTTACAGTAGTATCCTTTGGGGTACTAGCAAGTATACCAATTGCTGGGGGTCTTCTCGATGCAGTGGAGGCTACAGGAAAAGAGAAATATTGGGGCGTCGCTCTTTTTGCTGGAATTAGCTATGTGGGCGCTTTCATATCCTTTCTATGGGTTAGAATCAAAGTAAAAGGGCGGAACTGGAGGGTGAAATGGTAGAACACCAGGATTTCGGCGTTTCAAAAGACCACAAAAGACTCACAACAATGTATAAGATTAGCCCTGACAATCATACGCTAACTATATCTTGAAATATTTTGATGCCACATACGGAACTATCTTCATTTAGCATGCCCATGTAAAGTTGTAATCGCATTTGTCAGTAATTATCTACAGACGTGCCAAATGGGCATATAACTGATGTCAGCAGCGCAGCTTCTCCTGGACAGCGCAAGATGGAAAACGGCACCAAGAAATGTTTTAGGAGCATATTAGCACAGCGAGCCACTTGGTATGCAGAGACTTCTGACTATGACATACATGGATTATCATTCGGTCTAGGCCACACCGGCCTTAGGCCAGGATGTCTAATCCCTACCACAGGCATATATACCGCTGTCACGCCAAGCCTGCTTAGGAGATACCATAGATATGTTGGGCAGTACCTGCATAGGCTTTGCTGTTAATCATAATGTAAGGTACCCGTAGGTCATAGCACAGCAGCAAATTCAAATATAGCGCTTGGTCCAGAACCTCCTATAATGGGATACCTTAAATTGTGTTGTTGATCTTGTAGATACCAACCCATCAGCAAGTTAGTCTAGAAATTGAGAATATTGACTTCCACTTGGTGTTTTTGTATAGTTCAAAGTTTTTAAACAAAAAAGGCCAAATAAAGCATTTTACTCTTTCTGCTGTAAATAGTTGGTCGGTTGTTTTTAAGGTATAAGAGACATAAGCCGCAACAACACCGTTCCTTCACGTATAGGGATTTGACTGGACAGTCTCCCACAACTTGAAGGCGAGAGATTGGAAGTTTCTTTCTAAATGTATCTAGCCATGTGCAAATTGGGAAATTGATCCATTTCTACACAGAATCGATCAACACACATACTTCCCTCAATACTAGTCCATAATCCCATACGCACATACCCAGATCCAATGAGAATATCAAAATCCGATAGGAGTAAGATATGTCAGCCGTATTACAGGTCCGCATACATCATCTTAGCTCTGTCCACATATTGTTCAATGACTTCAGGGGAACAGGCAGGTTTCTTTCCGGGCGGTGAGTCTCCATGGCAAATGCGGTACGCCACCGCATTTCTCAATGGATTCCCCGGAGAATGAAGTATTTCCAGGGGAAATAAATTGTCCACTAACATCATATCCCTTCGAGCGCAAAATCATCTCAACATGCAAACGCAACCTTTGAGACCCAGTTCTGATCAGTTCCAAGGTTCCCACGCTCGTTGGCGCGCTCTCACACACCGCACCCCTTCCTCCCACTCCTCATTTCTCTACGGCGTCAAATCCACCAAGATATACTGCCGCCCGACCTGTCCTGCACGCCTTGCCCGAAGAGCCAATGTTGTGTTTTACGATACAGAAGACCAAGCGCGACGCGATGGCTATCGGCCGTGCAAGAGATGTCAGCCAGATAATGCGAGCTTCGTTGGGGAGAAGGAGGAGGTGGTCACACGGGTTCTAGCACTTTTACGCACAAAGCGGGATGATCAGAATCTGATAATGAAGCGAGGCTTGAAGGAGTTGGCACAAGAGGTCGGTGTGACGCCGAGTTATCTTTGCCGTGTGTTTAAGAGGACGATGGGGCTTACGCTAGGAGCGTACATGATAGAATTTGAGAGGGAGGTAAGCGAGGGCAGGACAGAGAGCTTGGTTCAATCTCCCAGCACGGTTGGATCTGGGATGGGTGATGTGACAACGGGAATCTTGACACCCTCAACAACGGCAGGGAGCCCCATGGCGCCTGTCGAGGGTCCAAAGGATGGCTTGGCCGAACCACAAGTGGGGAATGTCGCCGAGGCTCTAGACTTGAACTTTGATTTTGATGAATGGTTCTGGACTGGAGGCTTCGTTCAGGAAGACTATTGGAATGAAGGAGCCTTAGATGATCTGAATGTAGACATTTTAAATGGTGTGTACAGGTGGGATATTTGAATGTGGGTTGATCTTTGGGTCCTTGCTATCTACTTGCTTTCGAGCATACTTGAACGACTTGTTTGTGTTCTCAGTTCGTTCCCAATGAACTACATATCGGACACTTGCTATGATCATGAGTGAAATGAACACTGAATTGGGAATAGGCACGGCACAAGCATCGAATAAGCACCAAGCCACTACACGTGACCTCAACATGATACAAATCTATAACGCAATATAAGATGATTGTTTTATATTAAAAGTAGATAAACAATGTCATTTGGTATTTTTTTCACCCCCTAGCATTCAACACGGCAAGTGGATAACTTACGAATTGCTGATCTTGACAAGAAACCCCCAAAACTATTAACACTTGGCCCACTTGGCACCCCTTGGGGCCGAGAAAAACCAGCCAAATAAATTTAGGGAGAACCCCGCGCCTAAAAAAAACACTCTCTCTCCTTATGATCTTCTCAATGAGGATATGACCTCACTCAGCGACTCCAGTCCAGGGCACTGGATCACCGGTAGCTACACAGGCAACAGTATTGGTGTCCGTATCACGATCGCAACATTTATTGGAGTCGCATGGTACAACGTCATCGAGCTAGTCGTGCTCATCTTCTTAACCTTCAAACGCTATGAAGGCCCCTATTTTTGGAGCATGCTGATAGCTAGCGTTGGAATCTTGCCGTATTCGGTCGGCTACCTGATCAAATTCTTCGGTCTGACGTCCGCGACTTGGGTCCCCGTCACGCTGTTAACATTCGGCTGGTGGACGATGGTAACCGGTCAATCGTTCGTACTCTATTCGCGCCTCCACCTGGTGATCCAGAATATGCGTGTGCTTCGCATGGTGAGAACTATGATCATCACGAATATCTTCCTTCTGCATGTGCCCACAACCGTGCTCACCTACGCGGCCAACTTTTCCAATACAGCAGCCTCGATTGCGGGGTACGATGTCATGGAGAAACTACAGTTGACGGGCTTCTGTGTGCAGGAAGTGATCATCTCCGGGTTGTACATGTGGGAGACGAATCGCATGCTGCGTTTGAACCAGGACCATGTTAGTCGCAAAACGATCTTGCAGCTGCTCGCCGTCAACGTGTCTTGTATCCTGATGGATATCGCGTTGATGATTATCGAGTTTAGGAATTACTATATCTACCAGACGACCCTCAAGGCCACCCTGTACAGCATCAAGCTGAAACTCGAAATCGCAGTCCTTGGCAAGCTGGTTAATATCGCCCACCAGCACATGTGGAGACCGTCATCTTTCAACACTGCCGGCGGGCAGTACCCATCTTTCGTTGATCCGAGCCGTGCTTTGCATGATTTCAGCCATGCAGACTCTCTGGCTACCAGCGCGGGATCCAAAGGTCGCGTCTCCGGAACCGAGGCTATGGACACCGACGTTCGATGAAACCGGCTGTATTGGTAATTCTATCAACTCCCACACCAAGACAAATGGCCAATTTGGTCCATCCAGCATTACGATATCATCTGCGGTGCGTGAGATGATCACCGCCCGAAGTGATCTCCAACAACGAGCACCGGCCAGCATTCACTCCGCGCCTCTCGCCCAAGCTTTGACTCCGCCGTGGCGGCTGATTCAGATCGGCAATCAGCAATGGGACAGCCCGCGGTCCCCGCTTACGCTTACATGAGTCATTCCCCCGAATGATCGAGAGCAAACAATTTGGCCAGGTGGAAAGTGAATGTGCTTTCAGGCATGCTGGAATCAAGCAAGCCCGAAATAAATCAGTATTTAGGTTCATCCAGTAGATATAGACCTATCGGAGCGCCATGGTTTCGTCGCTTTAAGACCACTTTAGAATATGGCGAGCTTTCTTCTAATACCAATTTCTCCGACTCGGAAAAGCCACCACGGAGTGTAGATATGCGACGAGATAGGTGTTGGCACATCAGACCAGTCGTCTTTCTGTATGGGCGTAGGTAGCTAAGATTGTGCACCGTATATATTTATCAGGGGATGACCTGGAAACTCGCCGCCAAAAGTTATAGCCTAAGCCAAGAAAACGACAAATGATGGTCAATGGGCTTGAAAGATATTTGATTATTTTGCAATCAAGTAGCGGTCTTGGACTTGGTATTACTTGGGCGAGTGAACAACCATAGCTAATAATGATACCTTAATCAAGGCATAGTGAATGACGACATTTGGCACTTTCCAGTTTGCAGTGTCTTACTGGGTTCTGCGCATGTGACATGCCGTCTATAGTGACAAAATCCGCAAAAAATCATGAACCCACTTGATCGACCTGATATCTGCCAGATCGCCCACAGGACGAGTCTGGTCCCGAAGTCTAATCGTCAAGGGACATTCGTGCCAATGTATGTTCCTTGACCCTATTTCGTACGTCGTTTGCTTTCGCCAGTGTAGGCTAGCATCTTCCAAGGTCGAACGGAGGCCCTACCCAGGATCATGATCCTTGCGTCAGGCCCATTTCAAATATAAAAACTATATTCATGTTTCCTACTTGCGAGTATATACATTACGGTATACATGTCTCATTTTAAGAATTCAATGACATGTCATATTCATCAATATAAAGTGTTGTTAGTCAGTACACAAACTTGATATATCTCGTCTTGCCTATGCTGAGTTTGAATATCATACCCTACATAGTCTCTCTCCTTTCCGGCATATATAGTCTCTGCCACTGTACAATTGTCGAGTTTCCCCCAAACTTCTTGCATTCATAATAGACATAACGTTCTATATTTCTTGGGATCACTGGTCTCTGTTTTCAAAGATATTGAAGCGTTAGGAGAGAGTGAGACATTGTTTTCTACTGATAGATGGTAATAGATTGTCTGTGGTCTTCTATACGAGACCTTGACACAACTGAGGAATCCATAGATGCTATAGGCAAAGCTTATGTGGGTGCAGTACAGCATCTTTCCAACGATGTCAAACGGGGTCAGAGTGAAGATGATGCTAGCAAGGATTGTCCAGTTATACTCAATTGGCAGCGAAGCGTTGAACCAATTTTAGGTTCGGCATCGTCGCATTCTACTTGAATTGTCACCAGCACTAACTGAATTATATAATTGCAAAATGGGGGGAGAACAAGAGTGTTTCTTTGCCCAACCAAGCAACAAATGATTCGCGGGTGCTATACAACATAGACCTATGTCTCGTGTAATGAGCTCAAGTAACTGGATTTATGCATTTAGTTCATACATCGTTTTATGCTGCCTTATCTGACATGTACAGGATTTCGATCTACGCAAACTACCTGTTATATCATACTCATTTTAAAGCCCTCTCTCAGAACACATCATTTTAGCCCAGTCAAATCAGCGATATGTTTTCAACCGACATCGGCACTACCATCCGACTCCAAAGCGGTAATATCCCTACAAGGTAATCCAATATTAACAATCCCAATCTCGTCAACGTCATTGCCAAATTTCGAGCGAGAAAATGCCGAAGAAAAAAAAACGTAATCAAAAAGATCCAAAATTCACGTTTTGTGTTCTCTGCCGATCCCGAGATGAACCGCCTAAAACCGGCCCGGTGATATCGGGAGTGGGGGATAGGGGAGACCAATAGGGTATAAGGCACACACAAGACCCTCGAACATTTATAAAATTGGAAAAGAAAAAAAAAAAGAAAAGAAAAGAAAAGAAAGAAAGGGTATATTTGTCTTCTATGAATCCGTAGTCGTATATATTTATATTTATAGTTCAAGCCCGGAGAAAATTCAAGATCCCTTCCGTCGATCATCAAGCTGATCATGCAAGTAAAGCCGGCCCTCTGTATTGACGAACCCACCAATTCCGAAAGCGGGGATAATACGGCACATACGCAGCAGTGATGCACCAATCCAGTCGCGACTGACACGGCTGATTCGGTCTTTGGTCGGCATAACCTGTGGCCGGTTGTATAGATCCAGGCCGAGCAGGTGGATTGGCGTGCTGATGAGTTGGATGGAGGCAGGGATGGCAAGCTGCGCGATCAGGATCTTGAGATATTCTTGCGAGGCGATGGAGTCTGGAATCGATGCCGAGACCATGGCTGGAAGGCTGAAGGAGCCAAAGATTGTGAGGGCATCCCGGACGAGGAAGGCTGAGTATGTTGCTACTGGGATGCGGGTACGACCGATTGAGCGGGCCGTTTTGAGGGACGCGGTTGTGTTGGAGGTGGAGGTGGCAGAAGCGGGAGTTGGAGTTGGGCTTGGTGTGACTGTATTGTTTGTGGGTGCCAGAGTGGTGTTGCCGTGGCCGAATAATTGGGCGAACTTCACGTCCTTCCAGATACCCACAGAGGAGTTAACTATGAATGTGGAAGCGAATGTGGTCATGCCTGCAATAGCATGGTCGATTTGTGGGTACCATTTGCTCAGGATGGTCTCTGAGGCATTGGCTGTGGCGAAGGTTGCGGTGTAAAGGGACCAGACGAGGAGACTGGGTCGTGATGTTAAGAAAGTTGCAGGTTGTGTAAGAGAGAGCCAGAGGTGTCTGCGGAATGCTGGAAAGAGAGGCTGGTTGTAGAACGACTTTTCCACGACGAGTCTGGGTGGTATTGGTCAGTAGATGTTGTTAAGAAGGACTCCAATTCGACTGACCTGTCAAAGATCATCACCGCTGGCGTTATCAATGTTGCTGAACCTGCAGCAATGACTACATCGGCCGCCAATAGCTCCGCCATCCGGGTTTTGGTGTACTGGATACCGAATGGCATAGCCTGCTCTTGAACTTTCTGCGTCATGGCTTATCGTGTACTTTGTATAGTTCAAGCAGACAAAGCTATCGTCATCTGTCCGGGACCGTCTGACAGTGTGGTGGATTCCTTTCGAGAGAAGACCGGGAAAGGTTTGGTAAAATGCAATTTAAACTGCCACAATTAGCAACAAATCCAACGCGGGGCATTCCATTGAATTATGAGACAACTTACTGTGGATCAGTGTTGATCAATGGAACACGTTAGGGTTGCGCGACTTGGGGAGCACTATAAAAGAGAGAGAGTGGGAAAGAGTGAAAGAAGA